GCCAATGCAGCTCGCGCAAAAGCGGTGTAACATGGGAGCGACGAGTCCCTCCCAACACCGCCCGCGCGGCCGCATTTTGAACTAGCTGGAGCCTCCGGGTGCTCCTCAAGGGGAGCCCCATGTAGAGAGCATTGCAGTAGTCCAGGCGGGAAGTGACAAGGGCATGAGTGACCGTGCGTAAGGCGTCCCGGTCCAGAAAGGGCCGCAACTGGTGAATCAGGCAAACCTGATAAAACGCTCCCCTGGTCACGGCCGCCAGCTGGTCATCCAGTGTCAGCCGCGAATCCAGGAGAACACCCAAGTTGCGGACCCGATCCGAGGGGGCCAAAGTTTCGCCCCCTATAGTCAGCGATGGAATCAGCTGACTATGCCGAGGCGCTGGTAGCCACAGCCACTCGGTCTTGGATGGGTTGAGCCTGAGTCTGTTCCTCCCCATCCAGACCCTCATGGCCTCCTTATTAACTAGCCACCATTAATACACCTCCATTAACTTTTGAATGAAAGACTCATTCCATGTGCCAACGGTTGTTCTTTCCTCATCTTAGGTGATGAAGACCTATCACATGTATCATGCTGAGAGTATCAGTGCTGAAAGCAAGCTGAAGGAAGCTGAGAAGCAGGAAGAGAAGCAGTTCAACAAAGCAGGGGACATCAGCGTGAACCTGCTGCGGCATGAAGATAGGCCTCAGCGCCGCAGCTCTGTTAAGAAGATTGAAAAGATGAAGGAAAAGGTGAGTAGAATGACATGCTTTCCATGTGGTGGGCTATTGGCAAAAATGAACAGAGGAATATATTGTTGGGATGTGGCTGAGTATCAAATATTTCTAGTTCTTATCTCACCCATTTCACTATTGATTTATTGATGAAGATCTCCTGTGGATACATGAATAGGGGATTAAAGGAGAGTAGTAAAGTGTGGTGTCCAGTGCATTATGGACTATATTGCAGTGGTTGGGGAAACATTATATGAATATATAATACAGTGTTCTACAACACAGTAGATGTAATATTCTGTGTTTCATGCTTAATTTTATTGATTAAATTGTACACCGTCCAGAGTGTAAATAAATCATAAGTGAATGAATGAATGAATAAATAAATAAATAACTGTAATTAATCACATCATAATCAGCATGTAATTGATCACAGGTAGTAAAGTGTCTAGAACAGCCTGTGTAACATAGTGGTTAAGATGTTAGTTTGCTACTGGAGAAAGACAGATCTCCCTTTGGTCATGAACATTTATTGTGTGGCTTTGTGCTATTCTTTTCTCTCTGTCAGCCTAACTAAACTCATAGGGTTTGGGGGAGATAAAATTAGAGGTAGGTGTGTTGGTCAATGAAGATTGGATATAAATCTAACCAGTGCTTCTTTTGTAAAAAAAAAAAAAAAAAAAAGGTGCCGAAACTCACACATGTTATACAACCCACCTTGCCTACCCTACAAGGTTCCATCCAAAAAAGGTGCCAGAACTCAGTTCTGGGCGTTCTATGACAAAAAAAGCCCTGAATCTAACAAATAATACTAACAAATGATTGTTGGTTCTAGAAATCTTAGCCTAAGAAAAAACCTTAAAAGCTGTTTTGCTTCTTTTATCTCTCTTTCTGAAGGTTTTTTCCTTGACAGGTTGTTCTTTCCTCCTTAACGGTTCAGCACATCAGGTCTTGATGAGGTAATGTACCCCTCTCTGTGGAAATGCTCCACAATTTACCCCCAGGCTCTCCTTCCTGTTGAATGGTGCCTGCCTGACTCAAAACTCCAGCTACGTGCCGTCTTTCTGGCACTTTTCCACAGCTAACAGGCGGTAAAAAGAGCAGCTAATATATAGGAGTCTCAAGATCTTAAGTGAAAATGCACAGAAGAATTCAGGCAGGCAGGCAGGCAGCATTCCAGCAATCCAGATTTAGTCAGAGTAACAGATGTGCAGTTGACCATTTTTTTAAAAAATCATGAGCCTTGGACTTGAAGGGCATTCTCAGTTTAGGAACTATTTTTCCCTATTAGCTAGATGTGAGAAATATTTCAGCTATTGCCTAACTATTACATCCTTGCCTCGCCAACCATAGAAATGAAAGGAATAGGAAACACCATATGTTAATGTGTACTTTCCCTCCCATGCTGCCAACAGCAGTTAACCTTGAGAGAGCCACTGATTGTCTTTCAAGACTGAAGAGCAAAAGAAGAATCTTGTGCTGGATTGTGGTGCGACGAGCATGCATGGCCATATTCTAAGTATAAATTAGAGTATTTTCTCAAAGTTATGGACTTTCAGTTATGGCTGGATTCTCCTTGGATCTTCCATCTCTAATGAAAATTCTCTTTGCTCTCCACATAAAAACTTCAGCCCTACAGATGGTGGGCCTGAAGACCATCTAAGAAGAAGACCTCCGAGATCCCTTTCAAGTATTCTATTCTATTCTATTCTATTCTATTCTATTCTATTCTATTCTATTCTATTCTATTCTATTCTATTCTATTCTATTCCATTCCATTCCATTCCTGGGAGAAGTGAGATAGTCAATAGAATATTCTGTTCAATATCTTCAAGTTATAATTCCTTGAAATTAAGATTAGAGATAGGTCTGCAGAACTGCCCTAATGTAAATGCTGTCGAAAGTGCCAAGGAGGTTGAAATTTCATGGTCGAGCTACTTCTTTATTGTAATCATAAAAGAAGAGGCTGGACATTTTAGTCAGTCTTCATAAATACAAATTTGGGACATTTTTGAAAAGCTTATCAGATGTCTTTCTGAGAGTGACGTGGTGGTCTAGTGTTGAAGATGCTCGCCTCCCATTCGGAAGGCTAAGAGTTCAATCCTGGGTAGCGGCAGATGTTTCTCTCTCAGAGCTTGAAGAGAAAATATCTGCTGCAAACTCCATGTAGACATCAGGAAGGGTATCCGGCTAGTAAACACTCAACTCCATTCAGTCATCCTGACTCTACCCCGAATTAAGGGATTACAGGACCGTAAAAAATAAAATAAAAATCAGATGTTTGGCAATGACATTGCAGACAAAATAATGATCTAAGGCTGATAATAATTGCCACTATGTCTAATAAGTTATAATTCACAATGCTTTTCCTTTGAATCAGATATATTAGCAATAAAGAAGAAATATCCTTGGAAAATCTTAGTGTTACAGAAACTACTTTAAAGAATTACAGCTATCTTCACACTGAAAAATAAATGCCCTTGCATTTTAAAATGCCCTTGCTTAATATAAATAATTTTTATATATAATTTGTTTCCTTCCTTTTAATTATATTTACTTTACTGGGTTTATATGCTGCTGGAACCGATATTGATTTTGAGCAGCTTACACACCCAATATATATAATTAAAGTTGAAGCAAAGAGTAACAGTTACATTCATAACAAAAATGACAGTCTACATTTATACCATAAATGCCATTAAACAAACAAGAGAGAGCTGACTCATAACATAATCTCTTCTAAGGTGGATTGATAATGAAACCAGGAAGAGTTGCTTACAGTAGAATGCTATCTGAACCAGTAATCTTTGCACCAAGGATGTTGCTCTGTAGCAGTCTTCCTCATGTTGATGCCTACAAAATGGGTTGGAACTCCCCAATGACTTGGGATATTTGGACTTCAGTTCCAAATTATCTGGAAAACGTCAAGTTAGAATAAGCTGTACTGGGGTAAGAATAAGCTGTTCTGGTGTGAGCTGCTCTGAGGTGCCAACTTGCTAATGGCAAATATAGCAATCACAGTGAAAAGGTTATGTCTATAGGCAGAGCAGGGGATCATTAGGGAACTGTTGGTCAGATAGCTTTGCATATTCCTGAATGAGAATAATGTTTGTAAATGTTTTTCTGTCTTAAAATTTCTTGCAAGTACCCCAAAACACAAAAAATTACCATGGCAGGAAATAGATTGCATTACAGAAATGATATTCATTATTCAATTCAATTTAATTTAATTTAATTTAATTCAATTCTATTCTATTCTATTCTATTCCTACTCCTATTCCTATTTCTATTCCTACTCTTATTCCTATTCCTATTCTGAATCATTTCTACCTTGAAATGATCAGAAATGAAAATGTTCCCTCAGGATTCTATCAATTTTTAACATACAGGCAAAGAGATCTTTAACTGCATCCGAGAAGAGTCAAACAAATGGAAACAGAGATTTATGTCTTGGGTCCTTGACTCCTTATCTTATTTAACTTTTGTTTTTACTTACTGGTATTTGTATAATGGTAGCCAAGGGGTGTAAGAAGAGTGCTGGGTACATTGAAAAGAGCCTTTTATGTCTGTAGTTCACGAAAGGCTGATTTAATGAGCAGAGCCAATGTTTCTGACACTTCAGCTATTAATCAAATGAAAATATCAAACAAGCAGTTGTCATGTAGTGGTAGACCATATGCCCTGAAAACTAATTACTCCAATAGATCCCTTTATCTGTACGAATGTCATTCTGGGGGTGGATGTCATTCTGAGGGTGGATGTCATTCTGAGGGTGGATATTCAAAATATTTGTATTTCTTCTTAAAAACAAGTATTGTATGTATGTGTATATGTATATGTGCAAATGTATAGATTGCAGCAACTTCTTTTATCCAGTTATCAACTTTACATCTAATAGTACCACTGATAATTCCCCAAGCACCATTTCTAAATGTCATTTTACAATGGCAAAAGAGAAAAAAATGCTAGAATATTTTTTAAAGTCCTATGTATATTAACAGTTACCTAAACTGGAACTTCTGCTATGTTAACTGCATTAAGAAAATCATTGTGTACTGCTTAATAATGAGAATAAAATGTATTAATATTAACTTTTCTTAACCAAATTAAAAACACTTACAAAAAAAGGGAATATTGGGTCTAACATCCTTTCCAAACATTTTTACCTTCTTCTAGAAGGCCTATGAGGCCTTCATAAGACAGTGGCTGGGAGAATTTATTTTTTGAGATAAGTGGTAGATCTTATAAAACATCATGCACATCAGTGATTACAAACTTCCTGGATATAAAACCATCACTGACCTATGTACTCATTTCAGAAATAATGTGCTATAATGATTTAAAACTAAATAGTTGTACAACTTTTTAATTATCAGAATTACTATCTCTTGGATATATATGTCATAGCTACAGAAATAAAATCATATCCTGACCAACTGGATCTAAGGAGCGGAGATTTAAACGCTGAATCGATTGATGCCATGTGGCTTTTACTGGAGGATAAATCTGATTTCTTATCAGAATTAGCATGCCATAATTGCTGGTGCCATTCACATTTTTGCAACTTACTGTCTCAGCAGCAGGAGAGTGGCTGCCAAAACATGTTGCTATTATTTTTTAATGGATTCTCTTTATTTATTTATATGTTCACTTCCAGTTTGTATTATTTGTTTTCTTCCTGTTCATTTTATTCTTAATAATGCTTTATTTTTTATGTTTCTTTATATTTTGGTGGTTGTCTTTTCACATTAATGCCTACATCATGCCCTACTTTGCCCATCTAGCTAAGCCACAGTTGCATTTAGGAGGAGCTGTAGAAAACCATGGTTTTGAATTGAGTGGTTTACTACTTGAAAGCAAACAGTAATGTAGTATGAGGTGTGAACTCAGACATACTATTAGGTGGCATTGAAAGTTTAGGATATTTACACAAATAATATTCTATTAACCATTTGGGTAAGGAATTTTTATCTTTTTGTCTACCAGTCCACTTCTGAATTCTGAGACATTGTTAATCTTAAACTTGCTGCTCATTGCAGATTTAATTAACAAATATTTCTTTCTTAACTTTCAGCAACAACAAATCGAACAAAGTTAGCATTTGGTTGTTAGCAAAGTGGTTGTTTGATGACTCTGCATATGCCCTATGCTAAAACTGTTTTTCAGATACTCTGACTTTATTTTCATGTACCATGTTTGTTATGAACTAGGATCCAGAGACCTAATGCAGAAAGGCCTGTTTTGACATATGGCCGTTTTACATAAATTTCCATTCATTTACATGGATGATTATTCATTGAATGTTTGAATATGTCTTCAGAAAGAAGCAGATGATATACACAGTGGTGCACTATGCTGGATGCTGTTATCTTAACTCTGCAGAAAAAAATCTCAGCTATATTTGAATTCTAAAACAGCTTTAAACCTCGCTTACTACTTAATGGGGGGAAGCTGCCAAACATTTCTTGATATGGTGACAAATATTCAAGCTGTACTTTATATACATAGTACAAAAATTGAAACCTGCCTGTCAAGTAGTTAACTCTATTGGAAATATGTGCCAGAAATATGCTTATGCTTATGCACCGGAGACAAATTCCTTGTGTGTCCAGTCACACTTGGCCAATAAAGAATTCTATACTAATAAAGAATTCTATTCTATATTCAGAAGAAATAGCAGTTGTAAATTATCCTGTGGGGTTTTTTTTCCGTTAAAATGTAACTAGCACATCAGTAAAGAGTGCTTCTCTTTAAAAATTCATACAGTATAAAGCCATCAATGGCTATCAGTCATTATGGCTATATATAACCCCAACATCAGGGATGGCATGGCCTCAAGAAACCACAGCAGAAAGGAATTGCTATTCCCACGCTTTGATTGGCGGCTTCCCTCTGACCTATGGTTGGCCACAGAATGCTGGACTAGATGCGCTGTAGTCTGATCCAATGCGATATTTTTATGTTCTAAGAGCCTGAATTTGGGGAAAAATAAAATATGAGGATTGGGAAACTGAATACATTTTGTTTGAATCTTGTTTTTCAGAGGCAAGCAAAATATTCTGAAAACAAGCTCAAGTGCACTAAAGCTAGGAATGATTATCTGCTGAACCTAGCAGCCACAAATGCAGCAGTCAGTAAATACTACATCCACGATGTTTCCGATCTAATTGATGTGAGTACCAAAGTGATTCTCTTTTACAGCAATGTCATTTCCAATGAAAATGATTGCATTCTAGACTGTGGTCATGCAGTGATGCCGTCTTAATTTATGATCAATTGCTAATGTATTTAGCATGCAGGACCTATTTGTCTATGGATTCATATCTTGATGCTTTCCATCTCCCAGTGGTTTCTTAAAAGCAATAGAAGTAGAAATATATTCAGACATGCAGAGTTTTCAGCTACTGATGGATTTAGAGGGGTCATAGATGCTTTGAGCTGTACAGTTCTACGTTCGTTTATATATTTTATTTATCAAAATATTTTATGCTGACTATGACTTTTTTCCAACTGATTACAGTGAAGTGAGAGACCAATTTGAGCCAAGCAGATGAAGACTGAGTATAGCACATAAAAATGCTGTCAGGCAAGAACAGAGAGAGGTGATAATAGTGTCCAAACAAAACTGAGGGTAATAATTGTTATATATTGGAAGAAAGATAAAAGAGTGGAAGTTTTAAATTAGGGTTGATAAGACAGACGCTTACAGGAAATAAGAAAGATAACTTTTATTCCTAATGCTAGGTACTATTTCTCAACTTTGTAGATCAAACTTTAATTTGTGAACTGCCCACAAAACTACCAAAAGATTCTTAAAATCCACAGTGAAAAATAAGATATGAGTTGTCTCATTGATTATTGGAGAGTAGGATTTTTGCATCTAAAATCCTTTCTTTTGTAGCTCATTGAAAGTCTGCAGATAGTTCAGAATTAGAACACTACACACGTTCATGCTTTTGTTTGATCAGGCATTTCAAATAAGTTTTCTGCCAACTTTAAACATGCACTGAATCAAATTATAACTTGCAACAAGGGTTATCATCTTGCTGGTGAAATACAAATTGGATTCTAGATAAACACAAGTCATTAAAAAGTAATAAAAACAATGATCTTTAATCTCAAATGTGTACAATGTTTTAAATGGCTGAAAATTAATTTCCTTTAATTATTCCTCTAAATCATTAATTGTATCATTGAATGTTATGCATCATCAAGTCTTTGATGACTCTTATCAGCCAATACGCTGACAACCTCTAAGATGATCTGTTCCCACCCTGGCCCTTTTAGGTTATTCAATAGTATATCAATTGTCATTTTAATTGACTCTATCCACCTCATTGCTAGTCAACTGCTCCTTCTCTCCTTCCTTCCTTCCTTCCTTCCTTCCTTCCTTCCTTCCTTCCTTCCTTCCTTCCTTCCTTCCTTCCTTCCTTCCTTCCTTCCTTCCTTCCTTCCTTCCTATTATTAAGCTTATGTATCTTGCATATATCTTAATCAGTCTTCCATCCTTCTGAGGTCAGTAAAATGAGGACCCAGATTTTTGGGGATAATATACTGACTCTGTAAACCGCTTAGATAGGGCTGTAAAGCATTGTGAAGCGGTATATAAGTCTAAGTGCTATTGCTATTAATTTCAGCTTTCCTGAAGAAAAGGCACTTCGGCCTGATTTTCACATGAGTAGTGTGTGTCAGAAGAACATTATACACCGTGTCAAAATATATTAATATAAGAAATATTTCATCTCTTAGGTCAGCGGTCCCCAACCTTTTGGGCACCAGGGACCAGTTCCGTGGAGAAAGGGTTTTCCACAGGGACATGATTTCATGTGCTGCCTGCATCCCGGGGCTTCACTTGTTTGCGTGGGCCAGTTTCTGGCATGCCACAGACTGGGGTTGGTCCATGGACCAGGGGTTGGGGACCCCTGCCTTAGGGAATCAATAAGAACTTCTAGTACTTGCATTATCATCTTACATATTTCAGCATTTTTGCTTAAAACTCTGCATATTGGCTTGGAATGAGTTGCCTTGATCACTTCAGATAGCAGATGAGAGTTGTGTTTTACACCGCAGCTGAGCGTCATCTTTTAATATTACCCCCCTAAACATTACTTTATAAAAATAAAGAATTAAAAATATATTAGTTCTAAAATGCAGAACCATAACAAACAAATGGTGTTATAATAATCCATTTGAACCTATTACTATGACCCATTCCTGCTATCAGAAGAGGAGTTTAGAAGTCAGCTTTACTTACATTTATAAGGAAAACGATTTTTCACGAGTTCTTCTCTACTAACATAAACATGATGTTTAATCAGGCAAACAGAAAGGACCCACCCACCATTGTTTGTTTTCCATTTGTAAAATTAGACATAAATATAGTCTTAGTGGCTATGATGAGCAAAAGTACCTGGTTCAACTAAAAAGGTCTGCATGAATCATAAGAAAAACAAACAAAATGGGTGTAAAATAGAGATGCTATATGTATCCAGAAGTCACAATGAATATAAGAAGAGAACTTTCAGTACTTGGTTTCTCCTTGCCTCCCTAAAAAGCAAGGAGCTACTTGTAATTTCATAGCATGTATATTTTGAATTACAAATGGTGGATGTAGATTAGCTTTTCCCCTACCTGCTGTTGCCCTTATGTCTTAGGTTTTAATTCCCATAATCCATAGCCAGTGTGATATATCCCCTATTAGCATTATAACAGGCTTTAAAAGCAGAGCTTGAAATACTGGTGAACAAAACAAAATAACACACACACACAGAGACACAGACACCCAGACACTTATTTTGATAGGTGGCTTATCAGCTCAATTCAGATATCATGCTTAATTATAGTTTGTGCGACCCATAATCCAAGTGTGAGACTACACTCACTGCAAATTACCTTTTTTGCCTTTGAATCAAAAGCTTGATATGAAAGATACTTCGATTTTAATTTATTCCTGGTCCTGCTATTACTTTTTGGGTACAACCAGCAGTACAAACATTGAAAAGGTGAATCAGCCTGCACATACCTACCCTGACAATAGCCTACAGAGAAATCTTTCCTAATCCTGTGTGCTAGATGGAAACGGTGCATCAACAAGAATGTATTTCATTGTACATCATTTGTTAAAGACACTTTTACTTTCAGGATTGTTTAGATAAAGTCAAAGCCTGGCAGATTAGATTGGTAAAGGATGGATGGGTAAATAAATAGCTAAGTTCATGGGAAATTATTTTCTCTCTGTAGAGTCAGAGCATCTCAGAACTCCTGACGAAAAGAATCATACATGTGCACAAAGCCAAGAGGAATAAATGCTTCCTAGGGGAAATTGCTGTACAGAGTTATTGTTTTTTTCCCTATTGATTGAATGTTGCCGGTCTTAAAAAGCAACATGTTTTTTGAGTGTAATAGAGGAGAATGTAATATTCATATTAATAATTTTATACTGATGGGGAAAGCAACCATCCTGTCCTTACAGATAGTTCTCAACTTGGGCTCAGATTTAATAATAATAATAATAATAATAATAATAATAATAATAATAATAATAATAATAATAGTAGTAGTAGTAGTAGTAGTAGTAGTAGTAACAACAACAACAACAACAATAATGTTGGAAGGGACCTTGGAGGACATCTAGTCCAACCTCCTGCTCAGGCAGGAAACTCTATACCAGGGGTGTCAAACTGCCGGCCCGTGGGCCGGTTTCATCATACCGAAGCCGTGCCCACCCCATTGCCGGCAATGCAAAAAGAGTTGTGATACGTCACGACACATCACGTGACGTGGTGAGTTTGACACCCGTGCCCTATACCATTTCGGACAAATGGCTGTCCAGTCTCTTCTTAAAAACCTCCAGTGTTGGAGCATTCACCGCTTCTGGAGGCAGGTGGTTCCACTGATTAATTGTTCTGTCAGGAAATTTCTCCTTAGCTTTAGGTTGCTTCTCTCTTTAGTTAGTTTCCATCCGTTGAGCCCAAAATTCATGTTGCTAAGTGAGAAATTTTTTAAGTGAGTTTTGCCCCATTCTACGACTTTTCTTGTCACATTTGTTAACTGAATCACTGCAGTTGTTAATTTAGTAACATGGTTGTTAAGTGAATCAGGCTTCCTCATTGACTTTGCTTGTCAGAAGGTTGCAAAAGGTGATCATATGACCCTGGGACATTGCAACCGTCATAAATATGAGTCAGTTGCCAAGCATCCAAATTTGGATCATGTGATCATGGGGATACTGCAACGGTCATAAGTGTGAAAAATGGTCATAAGTGACTATTTTCAGTGCTGTTTTAACTTCACACGGTCACTAAAGGAACTGTTGAAAGTGGAGGACTAGCTGTATTAATACACAAAATTGAAATAAAAGTAACAATGGGTTCAAACTGTCACGCCTGGTCCTGCATTGGTATATTATAAAAATTGTGACAAGTTTAATTAAACTCAAAACATGGGGTGTGCCTGAGTTTAATATTTAAGGGTTCAGAAGACAATTGCTAGCTAAATGACCCCCATATTTTCTTCACTTTATAAACAGCTACATTTGTGTCTCCCACGTTCATCTGAAAAAATTGACATTTGGTTTGTGGCTTTGAAAATTACTCAAGGCAGGCATTTGTGTGGCTGAAAGACTCTGTTTTGATGTGGGAAGTTTAGTCTACTTTGGGCTTGGCTGTAAAGTGATACCTTTTAAATTAGGTACTGCAGGTCTTGAGGCCTTCTCAGATCGGAAGTATGTGGCTAGCGGTGCTATTGCTATTTTCAACTGTGGTAATGCAGGCTAAATTTGGTGGAAATGAAGGTTTGAGGCCTCTAAAACATACAAGAGGGAGTGATGGCTAATCCATGAATGAGGGGTCCTTGGTGTTCTCTGAGCTTGCTTGTTTTCTTGCAGACATTTCATTACCCTAACTAGGTAACACCATCATTTCAACCCTGAGCTACAAATATTTTCCTTCATTAATCCATGAATGCAAATGAAAAGTCCTTTAAAACGCAGAGATCTATTAAATTCAGGAGAAGTGTGTAAAACCCAGATGCATTTATTTCTAACCATATTTCTCTAATACAGACATGTCAAACTCGCGACGTCACGTGACATTGCGGAACAGTTTTGCCATTGCCGACAATGGGGTAGGCATGGCTTCCGCGTGACGTGTCCAGCCCGCGGGCCGGCAGTTTGACACCTCTGCTCTAATAAAACAACCTGTTGTTTGTTTGTAAAATTGTTCTATTTCCCAGAATAAAATATCAGAAGACCCTGTCATGTAATGCCTAGAAAACATTTTACATTATAGTAATGATGTTCTTATTACACTGTCATGTTTCCTGCTGCTCACTTTATGGGCAAAATGAATGAATGGATGGATGAATATAGATGTAATAAAGTTATGAGTGACTTCAGTGTTTTACAAAGCCCACCATAGTTCCCACCAAAGTCTCTGGAATTATGGATGTTGCTGGCTATAGAAGAGTTGCAGTAGATCATTCTGGTTGATGGAAATACTTAATCAAATGCTAATTCTTGCACTTTTGAGTTGCAATGAGGCATAAGATCAGATAAATCAATTCTCATTTGTACTGCAGTAATTTTGGAATTTATTTTATTGAAGAGTCAGTCAAATGAGAAAGTGGACCTTAGTCATGTCCATTTCTAGTCTTATAAAAGTATTTACATTGCATTGTTGATCGGATACCTTTAGATTTCTTACCATTCCATTAATTTTTATCTTTAATCTTATTTGTATTACTTAAGTCAGTGCTAGTGTCCTTTTTTCAGCATAGAACCATATATACTGTATAATGAACAATAAAATATATTGAAGTGTAGAATGAAAAGCCAACGTGGTGTAATGTTAAGGTGTTGGTTTGGCCCCCAAATTATCTGAGTTCTAGGCCACTCCTAACCATAGCAGCCCCCTGGATGCTTTTGGCCTGTCACTGACTCTCAGCCCAGCCTGTCTGGGTTGTTGAGCTTTGATCTCCTAAAGCTTTGATCTCCTAAATGAAAAGATTGGATATTCTTTTAAACAAGCAAATAACACATAGCTACTTAATATTTCTTCAAGTGAAGAACCTGTTATTCTACCTAGAAATAATTTGTATGATCTGTGGTTTAAGCTTGTTGTTTTTTTTTCCTTAGTGCTGTGACCTGGGATTCCATGCTAGTCTAGCACGGACATTCAGAACATATCTTTCTGCTGAATACAATCTAGAAACCTCACGCCATGAAGGGTTGGACATAATTGAAAATGCTGTAGACAACCTGGATGCACGAAGTGACAAACATACAGTTATGGACATGTGCAACCAGGTCTTCTGTCCTCCGCTGAAGTTTGACTACCAGCCTCACATGGGGGATGAGGTATGTAATTAGAAATGGTTCATGTTGCTTCATAATGCACCTTTCCTTCAGATGTAATGCTTCTTGTGTATTAGAATGAATGAGCTTCAATAGCATTTGTGTTTCATTTGTTAGCTTTGAAGCGGCATTGTAGTTACTGGAATTCTTTTTTCTTCTTTTAGAACAGAGGTGGGGAACAATAGTCCTTTTATGACTTGTGGACTTCAAGTCTCAGAATTCCTGAGCCAGAAGTGAGAGTTGAAGTCCACAAATCATAAAGGGGCCATCATTCTTCACCTATTTTAGAACTAGGGCCACATTTTCATAGTATGCTTAGACCAGTGCTATTTTCTATTTTACTTACAACTTTTTAGGCATATATTGTACTAGAACTTTCATTGTTCATTGTGCATTCCTTCGTTGAGAATTCTTTCCACCACTGAAATAAATTAAAAAGCAGGTGGCTTTTGCTATATCTTAGGCATAAGAAAGCGATTAATATTTAGACCTTTTTATAGGGTGATTAATTCAGATCCTGCTTTTGGAACACTAGTTATGTAATCTCTATCAGAATATTTGGAAATATTAAAGTTGTTTTGGCATATTGACCTAAATGGTCATTACTGTCATTATTTTATACGTGATACAGTTACATTGTAAGATTCTGAAAGAAATTATTCTATTAGTTAAAAAAAGCACTTTAACTGAATATATTTTTTTTTTCTGCCATATTCTCCTTTAGATTGAATTTGCAGAGCCTTGTTTTCTTTCTACAGGTATGTCAAGTAAGTGCCCAGCAGCCAGTTCAGACGGAGTTGCTCATGCGATACCATCAGCTCCAGTCTAGACTAGCCACCCTCAAAATAGAGAATGAAGAGGTGAGAGCTGTAATTGTTTTTAACTGTAAGTAAATAAGCACAATTCACTCAAATTATGCTAATGCTTCGGTTTGAAGTAATTTTGAAAGTCATTTGGATAGTTAATACCTTCTTGATAAAGAAATAGTTTTCAATCCAGAATCTGTAACTATTGTAATATGTATCATAAGGCGCTTTCTTTCAAAAGTGTCAAGAAGTACAAAATGCAACAGCTAATCTGTTAATGAGTGCAAGGCACAATTGTCAAATTATTCCTAAATAGCTCCACAAATGGTCATTTGTTTATTTAGGACCTGACTGCTTTAGGAATCTTTTTTTATCATACTTTTCATTCATATATTTTAATATTAGTTTTCAGCTATAACAGAATAACAGAGTTGGAAGGGATATTGGAGGTCTTCCATTCCAACCCTCTGCTCAAGCAGGAAACCCTATGTCATTTCAGTCAAATGGTTGTCCAATCTCTTCTTAAAAACCTCCAGCGTTAGAGCACTCACAGCTTCTGGAGGCAGGTTGTTCCACTGATTAATTGTTCTAACTGTCAGGAAATTTCTCCTTAGTTCTAGGTTCCTTCTCGCCTTGATTAGTTTCCATCCATTCCTTCTTGTCCTGCCTTCAGGTGCTTTGGAGAATAGCTTGACTGCCTCTTCTTTATAGCAGCCCCTGAGATATTGGAAGACTGCTATTATGTCACTCCTAGACCTTCTTTTCATTAAACTAGACGTACCCAGTTTCTGCAACCTTTCTTCATGTGTTTTAGCCTTCAGTCCCCTAATCATCTTTGTTGCTCTTCTTTGCACTCTATGTTTTACTAAACTACGTTTTCTTTTCTATTCTTAAAAAGAATTGCTATCTCCCTTTGGTGTTTCCAAAGCCTTAGCCTCTCTTCTGATAATTTTGTATGGTTAAGGTGATGTGTCTTCACAATAGATGTGACATCCCAAATTTACAATAGGGAATATGAATATGGCAAGACAAAGGAGGACCAGGTCTACATTTACTTGGATTAAGGAATGTGAACTAAAATCCCAAGAGGCAAAGCTGTGTCTTACTTATCAGACTCAAAGAGTAATATTTGAACCATTGAATTTTCTATTTAACTCATATTTGTAAAATCATCTTAATACACTCTTGATCTAGGAAGATGGGAACATGGATTCTGTGCTATATTGCCAATGTAATTAAATATAGTGTTCTGTGACTGAGCACTGCAAAACTTTGTTTACCATTAGAGTTGTGTCCATTTCCATTATTGTGATTCTAGTAATACTCATCTGCTATGGTTTTACAGAGATTCTGGTAATCATTTTGCTACACATATTGCTTATTATTAATTGTTTGAACTAGAAATAATTGTGGATCACTTTGAGGCTGTAGTTACTCAAGAAATTTCTGCTTGTGACTTCAGAGGCTTTACAAATTTAATTAGTCATAGGTATTAAGACTTTGAAAAACATTTAGAAACATTCTTGTTGTGACAAGGGACATTTGCAAGCATAAAGTCACCAGTAAGAAATAGATGTACTGAGGTATTTTTCAAGAGAATTAATGAAGATTGTATTGCAAAACAAATATATAAATGAGTAAAAGAGTCTAAAAGAAGGAGAAGACTGAGTGATTGAATAGAATTTATTTGATCCTAAAAAAGAAGCAGATGAGAAATTTAAAGAACAAAAGGCAATGTAGGAAGCAGTTCCTGGATATGAAACTTTTCCATTTGATTTAATGCGAACATTAATGAAAGGGTTGTTTATGACTGGCCTAGTGTTATAAATCTAGTGGGATACAATTATATGCAAAAGATCAGGCAGTCCTGATTAAATTTTATGTTTCAATGACTCTGTAAGTGTAGAGAAGCTGACACAACCTCTGCAGGGTACAAAGTTAAACACTGCATCTTTCCAGTGCATTTTAAAATCCATATGATTGAAAGAATTTCTTAAAGAGTTATGTTTGATTTTTCTTCCTGGTTGTGTGATGCTATGACTTTTTCTAATGGCATTCAGAGATATTACTTTTTCTCATAAACCATAAGATATAGTAATATACTTACCTCTGAGTCATGCACAGATATTTTTCATTTGCAAGCAAGAACCTCCTGTTAAACTAAGAGCCTAATTCTGAAAAGCATTTGTTTAAAAAAAATGTCAGTGTAACAAAAGTTATACATTTATAGTGCCAAACTGTATCTTTCACTCTGCTTTTCTGTACACCCATTTCCCGCAGGTGCGAAAAACGTTGGACGCCACAATGCAGACACTGCAAGACATGCTGACAGTGGAAGATTTTGATGTTTCAGACGCTTTTCAGCACAGTCGCTCAACTGAGTCCATCAAATCAGCTGCTTCAGAGACTTACATGAGTAAAATAAACATTGCCAAGAGAAGAGCCAACCAACAAGAAACTGAAATGTTCTACTTTACTGTGAGGAACATCTTCTGTCTATTTGGAGCCCAGTACTTTTAAAACACATTAGTGAAATATTCATCCCACAAAGTTATAGCTGCATATTAAGAATGGAATGCCCATATTATATATTTTTTGACATTTTCACATCAACTTACCCTTCCCTTCTCAAGTATGCACGGATGTTCTTTTAATGTGCAATAGTTCTGAGAATTGTATGTGCCTTGTTTGAAGGAGGATTTTTATCATTAGTCCTCATGAGTTTGAAGTAAAGATATAATATATATGGCCATCCTAAAACATGTAGAATTTTTTTTTTAACATTTACAGTAAAATCCCCCTCAGGGTTGATTTCCAGTGAGTTACAGGGACACATCCATGTTGTTTCCTTCACAGTATAGAAGTGGCCTGCTACTGTAATCTCCCGGGATCTTTAATTCCAAATCAGGGACTATTTATATCAGTGGTTCTCAACCTGTGGGTCAGGACCCCATTTGGGGTCGATTGACCATTTCACGGGGGTCACCAAGCAAGGCTGTCCGCCATTTTTTTTGTCCGCCATTTTTTCCCCCTTTTCCGGTGGGTGCCTTACTTCCCTTGGGCTGGGACAGCTGGTGGTCGGCTTGCTCCGTCTCTGCCGCTTGCCAGCTACGGCTCGGCTGGCGCAGGGGGCGGAACCACGCATGCGCGGCGCTCCTGGGCAGGGAAAGTCCTCGACTTACGACCGGTTGGGTAGTCCTTGACTTACGACCGGTTTAGTCCTCGACTTACGACCAGTTGGGGTCGCGGCATTAAAAAGGTTGAGAACCACTGATTTATATATTCCACCACATGCCAGAAAGTACCTTCCATTGTGCAAGTCAGCTGAGAAGAATTTTGTAAATTCTGCTGGCCACATACTACTGGATTTGCCCCAGTTAGAACTGGAATTTCTGAGATTCACGTCTTTTTAGAATTCTTTCACAATAATCGTTGATTTTCACTGGTGGAAATCTTTTTAAACTAAATAAGAACTGTGTAATCATTGAGTCTTGTTACTCTGGTTATGAAGGCAGGAGATACCTAAAAATTATGGCAGCTAAGTAGCGTAGATAACTTTTCCCTTATTCACAGAGCACAATGTGACAAGTCAGGTTGAAACAAGTCAGGTTGAAACTGCATCAATATTCCTCAAATAACCTCATTCTTCTGCAGACATTTTTGCTGTAAGTCAACTTTCTGCCAGAGAGAAGCCTATGCTGTTTTGTTGATCTTCTTGTGCTTTATCACAAGGCCTTGACTTAGAAGAAGATAATGAGTGTACAGTACAACTACATGCAGTAATGATTTAATGTATAGTCATGCAGATTGTTATTTGAGCAATATGGAGGAGGGCATTTTAATTGTAATAACATCCAAGCAGGGTTGATTTCAATCCTTATATTAGTTGTATCTGATGATTCAACATATATACAGTATAGTTTAGAAATTTAGCAATTGTTGATATTTTAAATATTAAACTACAGTGATTTCACTCAAAATCCTGGCCACATATTGCAGCAAAGTGCTTAGAAATGAGAGCACTTAAATCTATCTGCCCAGCTATTGCCTTAATTGGAACATGAGATTGAATCCATGGAATTCTTTTCACTAATATATATGGCCATAACAAATATCACTTTCTTAATTTAAAGGGCTTACTGAAATTTATATTTTGTAATGTTAGTGCTGTGAGTATTCATTTTTGAGTCTCCTTATTTCTGTTCCTTCAACTAATACACATTTTCTCCCCTCTCTCACCCCATGCTTTCCCTCTCTTTCTAGCATCTGTAGAGTTACATGGGTGAATACAAAGGTTTCTGACCTTAAACAGGAGTATTACTGTTACCTACCTTTTATTGTGAGGGAGACCTAGAAAATAAGGTTTAAAAAATCCTGTGTGCAACCAGAATCTGATTCCTTAAGACTTACAAATGTGTCTTTTTTTCTTATTTAGAACTCTGAAAACATTAAGAGGAAAATGAACAGAGAGAGAGAGAGAAAGAGAGAGGGAGGGAGGGAGAGAGGGAGGGAGGGAGAGAGAGAGAGAGAGAGAGAGAGAGAGAGAGTTCTCACTTAACAACCATTCATTCAGTGACCTCTCAGACTTGTGATAGTGCTGAATGAGTGGTATTTACAACCAGCGGTATGATCATGTGATGTCATGGTTTACAAGCATGTTGCTTAATGATGGCAACTCTGATCCCAATTGCTGTTTTTAACTGAAGACTACTTTTAGCTCAAAGTATATGTCTTATCAGAATTCTTTGTCCATCTTACTTACGAGTTAAATGGATTTGTTTCTTCTCTTCTTCAGAAATTTAAAGAGTATTTGAATGGCAGTAACCTTATTACTAAGCTGCAAGCTAAGCACGACTTACTGAAGCAGACTCTAGGAGAAGGTAGGTTACAGTTACAACATTGCATTTCTCATCACTACTGTACAAGATTTCAAGCTAGATTATAAATTTCTTAGTGTCATCTGCTTTGGTTCTTTCTCTTGTACCTGCTGTTGTAACCAGAAGTATTATCTGGTTGTTGTTAACACCCTGCTTTCCTTCTTTGTTCCTCATGCTCCACTTTGCCAATATTCTCTAGCCTTTTCCAATTCCAGGAATACTGTGGTACATGTGGTATTAAAGCAATTCCAGTTGTCCCATGATGCCACTTGCCTGGATTTCTGCCAGGGTGGGTATCCCAGAGTGATTGTCTGGATTTTGGGAAAAAGAGCACCAGGTAAGGGCAGGGTGAAAATAAGACCATCCAAGCATACAATTGGGGGATAGCAATGAGAATTGAAAGTAGGAGAGGGGATAGTATGAAAATCTCCCCTGTCTCCTCCATAACACAAAAGTAGCTTGTGTCTGCCTTGTTTGTACCTCAAGGCTGTTTCGGTAGTTAAATATGCAGCCTAGGATTGGAGCGATACTAGTCCAGAATGGAGTAACATACAAATCTTATTAACAATATAAATGCATTACTATATATGTCCAGCAAACATGTTTGTGCTGATACCAGTACTTTGACATATTTAAAGTACAGGCTACATTCATGAATGAATGTTGAAACTGGTTGTTACCTAGTTTAGATAATTGAGTCTTATCAAATTGGACTGTAACCTTATAAAAAAGGGTCCCCAACCCCCAGGCTGCGGCCTATACCGGACCGCTCAGGCCCACCGCTTGCGCAAGTGGAGCAGTGCGTGCTCATGCTCGCACCTGCTGCTCACATGGAATCACTTCCTCTCCCCCCCCCTGCAGGGCTGCCAAGCTGGAAAGGTTGGGGACCACTATTATAGAAGGTAAAAACAGGTGATCACTCCCTCCCCAGTATATCCATGAGTTGCTTTTGATTGACCGTCTCCAGCGGTCCAACCCTTCCCCGAGAAGAAAGAGACACTGTGATTTATGCTTTTGCCGGGCAAGGTGATAAAAGTTATTTTTTTTTGCCTGATGGAAAACCCCAACCCCTACTATATATACTACAGAATAATATATTCTCTTAAAATGTATTCGCTATATTCTTAACCATTAGTCATTTTATCTGGAACTAGAAAGTTTGTCAAATACAAACCCTGACCTTAAAATGTGTGTCAATGTTTTTTGAAGGATATTTCAAAGTTTTGAAAGTAATAGTTTGAAGGAGATTTTAAAGTTTTGAAAATAATAGTCAACAGCAGCACCAGGAGGGATAATATATTGATGCATGGGGAGAGTAGTCTAAGGCAGTAGTTATTGTTTAGAGTCAAGCAGTAAAAATGAAGGACAGGAAAAATGGAAGGTACTAAGTATAGAATTTTGAGCTGTTTCAGTGTTTTAATAGCATTGTATGTACATTGGCACTGAAAATAGTGTATTATTTGTAACTGGGTTACTTCTGTCACTCTGCTTGAAAGCTGTCAAGGAGAATTGAAAAATTAACGCCCTTTCATCATTGAAGATTTATGCTTAAGGGGAACTGGCTATGAAATTACAGTGGCCTTCTTGATCTCTGCATATATTCCAGAAAAACTAATTTGCTTCACTCTCGTTTTTTCCCCCCACAGGAGTTAGCTTTTGAGGGAATGCTTGCTTATAGGAGAAATTGTATGTGTATATTTGTCCAGATAAATCAATGTTTTGTCATTGGAAGAGGGGATTCGTAGCGTTGGTTTTCTGCATAAAAATAATGATTCATTAGACTTAATGTTATATGGCATATGTGTTTGTGAGCAATTCCTTCAACTGTTTCCCCATTTCTTTTCCTTCATTCTTTAAGTCCTTATTGTTCTAACCTATCTTCCCCCAAACAGGGAAGCTGCTTCTTTATAAGCTTACCTAAATTATAAGCAGTTACAGAATAACAGAGTTGGAAGGGACCTTGGAGGTCTTCTAGTCCAACCCCCTGCTCAGGCAGGAAACCCTCCACCATTTCAGACAAATGGTTGTCCAGTCTCCTCTTAAAAACTGCCAGTGTTGGAGCATTCACAACTTTTGGAGGCTGATTGTTCCACTGATTGGGACTGGAATTTTGGTTGCTAAGCAATGTGGACATTAAGCGAGTTCTCAGGTGACCAAGTCCATTTTTACAACCATTTGTTACATTAATAAATCATGCAATCATAAAGCGAATCCAGATTCCCCCATTGACTTTGCTTGTCCGAAATCAATTGGGAAGGATGCAAATCATGATCTTGTAATCTTAAGATGCTGCAAGTGTCATAAATGTGAGCTGGTTGCCTAGCTCTCACATTGTGATTACATGACTGTGTGGGTGGTATGAGGGCACTAACTTTGAGGGAGAGTCATAAGTTGTGCTTCATGGGCACATTGTAACTTTGAACTTTCGTTAAATAAACAATCATAAGTTGAGGACTATCTATGTACCGCAATTACAATATCAATTCAATAATATTTTAATTATATTAATACTCCAGGTATAGTCATATATTGTGTAGCCTGATTATAAACTCCAAGTTTGTTTGCAATAACAGGAACAGAAAAGTTAATAGAGAGATAGGTGTAAAACAAGATCTACAGTATTTGGGACAGAAATTTCTGACTGATTTCAGCCAGGATGGAATCTGTGCCAGACTTATGTTTAGAGTACCGATGTATTTACTCCAACTATGATGTTGCTGTTAGTTGCGAAGTCGTGTCCGACCCATCACAACCCCATGGACAACATTCCTCCAGGCCTTCCTATCCTCTACCATCTTCTGGAGTCCATTTAAGCTCACGCCTACTGCTTCAGTGACTCCATCCAGCCATCTCATTCTCTGTCGTTCCCTTCTTCTATTGCCCTCAATCTTTCCCAACATTAGGCTCTTCTCCAGTGAGTCCTTCCTTCTCATTAGGTGGCCAAAGTACTTGAGTTTCAACTTCAGGATCTGGCCTTCTAAAGAGCAGTCAGGGTCGATTTCCTCTAGAACTGACCGGTTTGATCACCTTGCAGTTCAGGGGACTCGCAGGAGTCTTCTCCAGCACCATAGTTCAAAGGCCTCAATTCTTTTGTGCTCAGCCTTTCTTATGGTCCAATTTTCACAGCCATACATTGCAACTGGGAAAACCATGGCCTTGACTATACGTACTTTTGTTGGCAGGGTGATTTCTCTGCTTTTTAGTATGCTGTCTAAATTTGCCATAGCTTTCCTCCCCAGGAGCAAGCGTCTTTTAATTTCTTGGCTGCAATCCCCATCTGAGGTTATATTGGAGCCCGGGAAGATAAAATCTGTCACTACCTCCATTTCTTCGCCATCTATTTGCCAGGAATTGAGACGCATAATACCCATGTATACCAAGCAAGTCCATAGTCACTGATGGAGCTATTCATTAAATGTTCTCTGTGCAGAGGTTTTGAAGGAATCTTGCTAAGAATAAACCTGTGCTCAACATTTTAGTAAAGATTTGGAAGGGAAGATGGATGAATATTTATTAAATTGCAGTTGATACAGGATGCTAACCTCTTAGAAGACAGAAAGAAATTCAGAATGTTGCTGATACATTAAAAAGTAGAGAAAAGAGAATACAAAATGAAATTTAGTAGGGATTCACAACAATTCTTCATCTAGAACCATATTAAATGTATATTAAATATAACGGTATAAGGAGGAAGATGGTTTGCTTGGCAGTAACAAGCCTGAAAAGGAACATTAAAAGTTACAGTATAGTGACTCTCTAGTTGAATTTAACTTAGGAATGGAATGTAGCTTTAATATTAATTTAGAACTAATTTAGAACAATTGCTTCAAGATCAGGGGCATAATCATTTCACTCTGTTCATTGGTTGGAAATACATTCAGTTCCCTGTCTGGTTCTGATCATCATGCTTTAAGAAGGATTCATGTAAATTAGTTCACGCAGCCAAAACAACAGTAATCTGAAAATTCAGTCCTGCAGGAGCAGCTTTCAGAAGATATAATAGCACTCTCTAAATACAACCTTGAGTTGCAACCATTTTCAACTGTTTGAAGTTACAAGAGCCCTGAAAAAGTGACTTTTGACAGGTTTTCACACTTATGACCATTGTAGCATCCCCATGGTCCCATGATCAAAATTCATAACTGGCATGTATTTATATCAGTTGCAGTGTTCCAGGGTCAAGTGATAACCTTCCCAGCTGGCTTCCGACAAGCAGAGTCAATGGGGAAAGCCAGATTCACTTAACAGCTGTAGTGGTTCACTTAACAACTGTGGCAAAAAGATCATCAAATGGGGTGCAACTCAGTTAACAACTGTCTTGCTTAGCAATGAAAACTTTGGGCTCAGTTGTAGTCATAAGTTGACTACCTGTACTGGAAGCAGTATCATGACTTGTTCTCCAATATAACATCCCAGAATGTAGGGCCTAAGAATAATTAGGTACTGATGATACAGGTCCTGATGAACAAATGGTCACTATTTTAACCCATCCCAGTAATAACTTTTCCAAGTAATATATTTGATCCCATTTGTCCACATTATCTGTTGTCTTCCCCCTTTTCTATGTTTTTCAATCTTGCAAAGCATAACACTTTTTCTTAATACATTACTTCTCTTGCATTACCTTTCCTAAATATGTGCATTTCTAATAGCTGGGCATCATTGCTTTAACCATTATGATCTTTGTTGTTACAAAACAAAGGTCATTGAAATGGCCTTACCCATCATGATCCAAGTTTGTCATTGTCTTTCTGTATAGAATTAATTCTGTATAGAATGAGTTACCTATTTCTCTATAGAATTAATTACTTTTTTATCTATTCTTGAACTACATAAAGCAAAACTACTATTTTTTATCATTTTAAATACACTGTGTGTGCTGGTTGATGTTTCTTTTGCTCTGATTACATGAAGGCAGGTTCCAGATAGGAAGAAACGTCTAATGGGAAAAGCAGATTGCCTGGGGGACTACTTTCCTATAAAGTAGTAAAGTCTCACTTCTACTGAAACAAAGGCTGGACAGCCACCAACTATGGATGTTTTATTGCACATTCCTGAATTCAGCAAGAGGTTGCGCTCTGTTGCCTAAATAGCCTCTGGACATTGTTTTTAAACCTCAAAGAATGAGTATTAATTCTTGTACTAAGTTAATCTAGCCTCATATTAAAGATAAGGAGTCTACTTATAATCACTTTTAGTTTTTGAGTTGTCCTTATGTTATCCTTTGGCAAAAGCACTTGGCTTCCATTCATGTCTTCTTTAATATTAGGTAATAATGAGGTAATTATTTCTTAAAGCACACAGATTTTCAGGCACAAATAACAAGGAGCATTCATTGAGTTCAAAGCACAGAAGAATTTATTATTGATAGATATACACTAGATTCTAGTGACTAGAATCTAGTCAACTAACGGTCAAAGTTAAATTAGCATTAGATAAAAATCAATGGAATTCATAGGGGGCTGGACTTGGGTCTCTTGTGGCAACACAATGACTTCAAACTGATGACTCATTTAACTCCGCCTTCCACTTCAGCCTACTCTTTTCCTACACCACGGGTGTCAAACTCAGTCATGTCACGTGATGTATTGTGGTGTTTTTTGCCTTTGCAGAACACCAGATCAACTGTTGGGAGGGGGACTTACAAGGCTCTTAAATTTCTTAAACTGTTTGGAGCATTTGTTGATGATAATGATGGTAGCACTCTTCCTTCTGAAAGATATTACAATAGTATATAAGAAGAATAAAAAATGGTTGAAGAGACCATTAGCAATTAAAATGAGGCAATGAAAATACAAGAGTTAAAATATCATTTAAAAAAAAAAAGAACTTCAAAAATCTGATCTAGGTATAGTGCTTATCTTGCAAATTGCTGATTGAAAGATATCTTTTCAGTTGCCTTTAAGTCAAGATTCTATGGGCTCTGGCAGTTTTGTTTTCAAACTTGGCAACTTTAAAATTTGTGGCTTTCCTCTGCTGGTTGGGGAATCCTGGGAGTTGAAGTCCACACACCTTAAAATTGCCAAGTTTCAGGAACAACGGGCTATAGCCTTATACTGATTTCCCTCTCCCAACAAAGTACTCTTAACATATATAAATAAATAGCAAGGGTGCAATTAACATACTATTTCTTTCCTCCCTTCCTCAGGTGAAAGAGCTGAATGTGGAACAACTAGGTAAGTGGAACTCTTTGTTTTTCTATTTTATTCTGGTGATTGGTTGGTACTCCTTCTATAATAAGGACTGAACTATTTAAAATTCATCTGCTTCAAATTTATAAAAAATCTTCCAAGCATGAGCTGCAGGGGGGGAAAATGGCAGCTCTCTCCCTGCATGAGTGGCTTACTTCTGGCTGCATTACTCAAATATATTAATTAGAAGGATAACAAAAAGCCTCTTGCTGCAGTGGCAATTTCCAGCTGACTCGCTCTGAAATCACATAAGGCTCTGTCAGCAGAGAGTACTGCAGAAGCTTCTTGGATGTATCAGAGTTTGCTCAGCTGCTTGTAATAGTGACCAGCATCTTTAGCCAAACTGGGGCTCTCTCCTTTGCTAGTTAATATATGCTCAGGAACAAATTACAGTGAATGAGCTGAGAGACCATGTAAATACATTTAATATATGAATTTTAAAAAATAATTCCCCAGATATGGGATTAATTTCCAGATCATGATATATGACGGTTTCTGAATCATTCTTTTCTCTGTAATAAAGAGGGTGAAAAATAGGCATTAGGAATAAGAATAAATTTTGAATTCCCATAAGAAAGGAGAGTGCGGGTTGGGGGGAATTTAGGAAAAAAAGCACCGTTGACAAAGGACATTGACAAAAGTGAGCTGCTCTCAGAAATTGGAAGGAGAGCAACATATGATTCAGTTAAGTAGTGAAAGGTAATTTAGAAGCAGTTGGCTGTAGTGATAAAAAAGCAGTTATGGAAAAACTGAATGGGTTTCATATAAGGTAAGCTACCCATAGCTGATTTACGCATTCATGGCTGCCTAGTAATAGCCACTTCTAAATTAGGGATTGATTAGCTCACATTCTCATGCAAATACACCAATAATGAGGAATCATTAGCTCAAATGATCATTTATATTTTCAGCGAAAGGAAAGATTTCCAAATTTCTTTGATCCAGATAATGCGTGGACATAAAGAAGTAATCATTTGTGTACAGAAAAGCAGTTTGGCTAAACCTGGCAGGTGGACTAATTCTAAATTTTCTCACTGAACGATAGAAAAGAGAGAGAGGATAATAGTTACCAGATATATGGTGGAAGAAGGTGCAAGGAAATAAAAAGTACAGACTCTTAAGTTTATAATGAATACAAGGTATTTAATTTCCTGTATGCAGTAAACATATAGGAGACCCTCCCAGTAGCTTGGTTATTTGGATTGAAATGTAGGTGGATTCAAATTTACCTAGCTCATTTTACATAAACTGGAACTCTATCCTCTACAAAGGCCAAACAATTCCAGCTAGCTTCTTCTGGTGATGATGAGAAGACCAAATGGATCAAGCTAAATAATTTGGATAAAATTAAAATACCCCCCCCCCCCCAGTCATCTCAGTTTGTTTCAATTTTTATGAGTTGTTTCTCATAAGCACTGCTTCCCTACTTGATCACCAGGACCATTTCCACTGAAGCCCCAAATGTTCATGGAGAATATATTCTATCAGACACTAAACATGCTGGTAGTTAATGTCTTGATATAAATGGAACCAGGTTTTGGACTGTGGTTTTATACATTTCTTAATTTGATTGCTTTTATGCTAACAAAATCAAAATGTTGAGTCAAGGTACCTGCCTAAGCAAAATATAGAGTGCCAGCACACAGAGCCAACCAGCTACACGAAGATACTGAGAAATAGAACAAAGAACCAAGCCAGCATTTATTTGGTGTTTTCTTGGGAGCCTTGAGGACTATATCCTTTAAAGGTGGTATAAAATCAACATAGAGAAGGAATAATAATTTCTGATCCACAAATTGGCTCAAAAGAGAGATTTATCTGAACATACTGAAATTTAAATGCAGTGTGATTTCTAGCCAAAGAAATTGGGTATGCTCTAGGGGTGCCGAGTGCTCTTTTATATGAAAGAGTGCTATAAGAAAAGGATATGCTAGCTTTAAAATCTTAGTTTCTTTTTGAACAGTTTTTTAAGTTATAAAAGTTCACTCCTGATCCAAGATTTGAGGATAGTAAGATCATTTTCTTTGTTATTGTTTGTCATACTTCCCCTTCTCTTAATATGCACAGCACAAGCCTTGAAGGATTGTTCAAAGCTGGTCATTCTGGCCCAGCCTTGTAGACTCACTGAAAGGTCTGTATGCTTTCTGCCAAGGAAGGAGATGCAAGCAAATGGCCCCAGAACTCCCAAATAAATGCAGCTCTTCTTTTTAGCTCAGTTTGCAATAATAAAGAAAAAGAAAGAATAATCGATTGTGAGGTCTGACAATGCAGCAAAAGAACCAGAAATATTTTTTTTTGTTAAATAACAGTAAAGCTTCATTGTTTAATTACACTGTGCAGGATTAGCAAAGAAATTTGGAACTGTTTTAATAATGGTAGAAAAATAGCTTTTAGAAACCAGCTTCCTTCAAATGTGAAATTCTTTTTCTAACTAAATGCATGAGAATTCAGGATTATGAAGTGGTTGGTCAGTTTAAATTGTACAAAAAGAGTCATTTTAATTGCATGCACATGGATTTTTTTTTTAATTTGGAGAGGCAATTGAAAGAAACCATTTTAATTTGTTAGAATGCACTAGGTTGGCCCTCTGTAGCTAAGGATAATAGTGGATGGAGATAAGATGAAGTTTGTGTACAAATTTAAAAAGCTAGGATCCTGGTGGTAAAAGAGCTTAGAATCTTTTCAGGGAAGGGAAGATTTGCCCAGCTTATTTTAAATATTGTTTTTTCCTGCTTAAAATGAACTACATTGTAAATAGAATTTTGCTAATAGTAAAAGGTAAGCAATTTCCCAGCCCTCTTCCTCCAAAGTAAGGAAGCTGGGTGTTGTATCCTTGAGATTCAGGGCAGCTCTTCATGTCTTCGGTATTCCAATGATATACTGTCGAAAAAGATATCCAGGTTCACGGAAGCAACGGTTCACCTTCCCAAAGGCTTCTCCGGGTCTCTGTTTGCAGTCTTGGAGCTCTTTTCCCTGCCATTGTATTCACACTGATGTTTTATGATTTCTTTTGTTCCATTTCCTCAGGCCCCCCTGTCTTCCCCCTAAACCACAGAAAATGAGGAGACCTAGGCCTCTCTCAGTCTATAATCATAAACTCTTTAACGGCAATATGGAAACATTCATTAAGGTATTGGCTGTTTAACAGTAAGAGTCTGTGAACACTGTGGATGTAATGGTAGCATTCTCCCCTTCTAACCACTGATCTGTTTCCTTTCCTCGGACCTGGCCTTTCCCATGCACTGCACATCACGCCATGAAAATGGTTGGTATGCTGTCTCTCTCAGGGACAAAATCTGCTGGTGCCACACTTGAGCTAGCAAGGGACCCACTTTACTTTTGGAGTTCTGTACATTTGTTTATGCAAAGGCAAAGGACGAGGTAATAAGAAAGATTTTTTCGGGAACAAAATGTAAGTAGCATCCTTTGTTCCTGCCAGCAGGCTAATTGGTAGTCTATCATATCTTGTTCCTACTACAGGCTGAGCTGCCCTGGTTCTTTGAAGCTTATACAGACATCCTGAAATTTAAATGTAGTGTGATTTCCTCTCTTAGAAAAGTGTTTCGTGCAAATCAAAGTTAAAATAAAAAGTGGCGTTTTTATGAGTTCCTGGTGTTTTATTCAGGGTTTACCAAATTTGTGTAACTGCTCTTCACGTAGCTTATCTAAGCAACTCCTAAAGCAAATATAAAATTTAAACCACAACAGTAATTGATTAAGAAATAACATGATAATTAAGACTTGCCTATGAAACAAGAGTGTTAGATCATAAAATATAAACTGTTTTAAAGATCTACATTAACAAGTAAGTCTTCATCTGGTGCTGGGAAAGGGGTGCTACAGGAACCTTTGCTGAAATGGCCTTTCATCTAATTTTTACTGGGTCACCTCATTTAGCAAGCTTAGAAAAATGTAGTGAAATATAATGCCAGTGAGAATGCTTTTAATTTCCAATACTTCAGAGATTAGAGATGAAAAAAGAATCTGATAGGGATCCAAATTCTCAAAACACTCAAAACAACTGAGCCTATTGGTCTCAATTGCTTTATTGTCTTAGATTTGCTAAAATTCAGCGATACTGCACAATTCAGGAAGAGGTCCAATCTTACCCATTTACTTATAACCAGAAGCCACTAAGTTGAACAGAAAGAATCAAGCAAAATGAAGGGGGATAGATTTTCTGGTTAAAAAAAAGCAGATGATTAATGATCATAACTCAGTCTTGCCACAGTGTCATGGCCTCCAACAGAAGTGCCACATTGGGAATACATCTTGGAGCTGCAAATAGTACTCAAAATAATTTGGACGACCTCCAGCGTTTTCTTTTTAAAGAATTGAATAATCACAGGCCTGCAGCCCATACAGTAAAAGAGGCAAAACTACAGCATTAAACACTTTTAATATTGAAATCAACATCAAAACTAAAAGGTAAAACATTGGCACATGGAAGGAAGTCAAGGCAGCCCAACAAAATGGGGAAAAAAAGCATTTTAGGAAATACGGAATACCAAAGCAAAAAACTAATGGCCATCGTACTGAGGTATTCCCCTGAACAAAAAAAGACAAGAATTTCAGATTTTGCCAAGAGAGCTATGTAAATAAAATGAACTGGGCAATGGAACTGTAGGAAGAACTCCATATGGGAAAAGGGAAAATGGCAAGAAGAGTCTGAGAATCTATTGCTGAAGCAGAGTAATTGCATACCAAGCAGTTCTATGGGTGTTGGACGGAGCCTGAACTACTGTAGTTCCTTCTAAGCTGCCATTGCATTTGAGCTTTCATAGCCTCTGGAAAATATGCTTACCCTAACTGTTCTTACTCTTGCTTAACCTTTTCTTTTCTCCCCTACTTTGCTGCTTTATTTGCTTATCAGAGGAAGAAGGAATGCTCGAACAAGAAATCAGGTACTGACTAGAGGGCCCCCCCCATCTAGAAAAATATATGTGTTATTTATTGTAAGAAGTTGCTATGGTTCAAGATATCTTATTCAAGAGGTCCCTTCTTTGAAGGAGAAAAACGAATAAGTACAAAAGCCGAAGTTCACGAGAGGATAACTTTCCCAAACACATCCATACACATAGATTCTGCATAACTCTTTAAAACTGGTTTTGTGGAAAAACACATCACATCACATCACACATCAAAAATGAAATGTAGTTGCCCATCTCAAAGTGAAACACATACATGACACACACCTAAACATACTATATACAACATAGTATATAAAATGGAAGCATTAGTGTAGCTTAACCAATGTCTGATCTGGCTCATAGCTTTGATCCAGATGCCTCAATTTGATAGTCAAGATTCAGCTTCTCAGGAACACTGCCAAATTAACTTTCTTACAGTGGGCAGTATAAAGGATGTGCAGATTACTGTTTGAAAGCTTACATATTTTAATTTCTTGCTAACTCGGTGACTGAACTAACAGCTCATTTTTCAACCTGTAATTTTGCTTGAGTGTGCTTCATGAAACCACTGTTCTCATCAGATCAATATACCCAAATCAATATATTCATTTTTTTTAAAAAAAAAATCTGTTTCTTTCCCAAGGATTCTGGACAGGCAATTCCACTTGTGGTTGAAAGTTGCATTCGTTATATTAATTTATATGGTAAGTTGAATTGCTCCCCTCCACATTGGCCTCAAGATTTTCTTTTAAGGTTTTCAGCACAAGAATGTGTCTCCACTAAAATGCAAAATAATATGTCAACTTATTTGACTAATTACATGGGGCTTGGCCATTGTTATATTTAATTAATAAATGCTTGCCTTAACCAGAAAACAAAATATTTTTGGAATGACAGATAGTTGGATATGGAATTGTGCCCATTGACCAAATTATTTGTCTGGATACTTTTGACTGAAATCCAGAGAACTATTTCTTCTCCCTCTACTGCTGTTGACTGAAAGTTTTTAATTTTGTTCTAGTATGAGCTAGACCAGTGGTGGTGAACCTATGGCACGGGTGCCAGAGGCCGCACTCAGAGCCCTCTCTGTGGGTATGCGTGCCGTCATCCTAGGCCTTCAGCTGGGTTTTATAAAACCTTTTCACTTTAGGCCTCCACTGCCGTGTGCAAAAAAAAAAAAAAAAAAGATTCAATCAGTCAATTTCAATTTCTCGCGGGAAAAAAAAAAGATCTTGCAAAGTTGGAATTGATTGATTGAACTTTTTAGTCCCACCCAGTCTGCCATTACCACCGCAGCCACACCCACCCAGTGGGCCACACCCAGCCAATGGGCCTCACCCAGCCAATGGGCCACACCCACCTGGCACCCGATGATGCATAAGTGGGTTTTGGGTTGCAGTTTGGGCACTCGGTCTCTAAAAGGTTCGCCATCACTGAGCTAGACAGTACTGCTAGCCTAGAGCTAGGCTTTAGGTCAGTAATAACAAACCTTGTAGGCTCGGTGTGTCAAAAATTCAGAAAATGCCTAATTTGACTCTGCTGACATGTCACAATTCATGAAACAGTTCATAACAAAGTCACTTTGGATAGTGATATTGGTGGCATATAAATTTAATAAAGAAATATATAATTGTAAATATTTTTCAATTTGTCTTATCTGAGACAGCTCCAGCGATCTGGAAACTTTGGACAATGCTCTTATTTGGCCTTGCCGGCAACATAAGAACAGGAAAGCATGCCCCATTCTTGGGCTTTTTGGAAGCTCCAAAGGCTGTGTGAGAACACACCACATTCTTGTGTGACTCTGGAACCTCCAAAAATCCATGAGAATATCTGCTCTTTTGAGAGGCTGCATGAGAATGTGGTGTGCTCTTTGTGCAGCCTCTGGAGCTTCCAGAAATCATGCAAGAACATTCTTGCACAATTTTCAGAGCCTTCAAAGGCTGTGTGAGAACAAAATCCTCTTGCACAACTTCCAGGTGATCTGGAGACTACACAAGTGTTCACAAAATTCTCATGCAGCCTTTAGGCGCATCACCAAAAAAATGATATGATATGTCATTGTGACACTCATGTCATAGGTTCGCCATCACTGCTTTAGGCCACATTGAGCTTCCCTAAATTCTTGTCTGTCACTATAAATCCTCCTCTCCCTCTCCCCATGCATAGGGATTAAATCAGCAAAAGGTTGTACAGAAGCTGTGATAAAATGGGCAGGGTTATAGTCAATTGTTTCCATGCAAGTGTTTGCAGAATCATTCTGGGTTTCTGTCAAGGCAAGATATCGGGTTTGACTGCCTAAACTTTCTTCACCATCTGAGTTTATCTTATCTGCTTGAACATATCAAAACAAATTGCATATATAGGATTACAGGGAATTCAGTGACTTATTTCTAGATATATGAGAAGATGACATATAAAAATGGTAAGAGGTGATCTACAAGTAGATTTGAGTCAATGAACTTATTTGTGTAGTAAAATGGCTTTCTCCCCCCCCCCCCGACTGTTATTGTTATCCTATAAATAAAATATGTATTTGGAAGACCTAAATGTGAAGGTAACTGAAATGATTGAAATTTAAAATGGGAATTGATTCCAAATAATTTAATAGGCTTTCTTTTGAAAAAAAAAATTTTCACTTCAGGTTTACAACAACAGGGTATTTTTAGAGTTCCTGGATCTCAGGTTGAAGTCAATGATATCAAAAACTCATTTGAAAGAGGTATGTAATTAGTTGGACATTCTTATAAAGTGATTTGCTGTTGTTTTATTTTACATTTATTTATTAGAATACATATACATTCTGAATTCTGTCTCTGCCTTCTCCATTTGTGATTAGAGACATAATTGGCTTCTTTTGAGCTTCCTCCATCCCATAGTTAGCATTGTCTATGTAGATTCTCAGTCATCCAGGTCATGATTGCCCCAAAGGTGCTTTTTCAGAGGGTAGCTAGACTTTGTTTTTCCTTGAAGATGTTTCACTTCTTATCCAAGAAGCTTTTTCAGTTCTGAAGAAGCTTCTTGGGTGAGAAGCAAAACATCTTCAAGGAAAAACAAAGTCCAGTTGCCTTTTGAAAAAGCACATTGGGATATAGTTAGCATTGTTATATTTAAGCATAGCTATTTGGGATGTGTTCTAAAATTTTGCAATACTGCTTCATAAAACCAAAGAATTTTATGATTTTTGCCCATTCTTAATTAAACACAAAATTACATCACAAATCATGTTAAGAGATGCAAATGTCTGTGAACTTTTGCATGCAGACGATGCAACCTCATTAGCTAAGAAACCAAATACTTTGCAATTAATATTAAATTTCTTGTATGAGTCATAAGTGTATGCATCTGAAGTTTAATATAGCAAAACCAAAGTAGAAACATTAGAAAAATAAATGAATTTTGCGTACCTTGATAGAAAGTTGATTAAAGATGGAAAAATCTTTGGAGAAACGTTAAGACCTACAAATGTTGATAGGGGACTGTTCAGATATGTTGGAGGTAACGAAGTCTATGACAAGTGAGAACTTTTGGTTGGAAGGACATGATTCCTACCATTTTTATCACATAGAAGTAAGAAATGGATATATTGAATGCGGTGGAATGGGGTACTTATCTGCATAATGAAATGAGAAAACATAAGGCCAAGAATGAATGGGTGCTGAATGAATGTGGAGTGAACACAAAAAGTGAGTGAGCGACCAGCATGAGAGAAATAGACTGAAGTGATTAAGTCGTATAAAGAGAAAGAATGAAGGTGGAATTGCAGAGCAAATACATGAAGAAAAGTGAGGAAGATTGAGAAAGTCATGGTTGAGCATAGCTGATGAGTTCTCAGAAAAGGGCGAGACCTTTAAAGAAGAAAAGATAATGTATGCATTGGTATTTGGATGCAGAAGAAACATGATTTGCAAGGTTGGAGAAGAAAAGTATAATAAATGGTGCTTGTGGGAATTTTTTCCATTTCTTACTGTACTTATACTGATTTCTTTTTATGTGTGTGCTTTCTATAATGTTGTTTACCCTGAAAGACTATAGAGTGATGTGTTTGCATGTACATATTATTATCCTACGTTATAGCATTACAGTTTGGCAGGATTATGATGATAATGGGATGACAAGAACAACAACAACAATTATTCAGGGAAGCTGTTTTCCTAATTTTTGTAGCGACTTTTTATTACTATGGTGTATTGTGTCTTCTGTATCATCTAGAACTGGAATCTAATGTTATAAATAAATCTTTTATGTCAGGTGAAGATCCCCTTGCTGATGATCAAAATGAACGTGATATTAATTCTGTTGCTGGGGTCTTAAAATTGTATTTCCGGGGACTGGAAAATCCACTCTTTCCTAAGGAAAGGTTTCAGGATTTGATATCTACTATAAGTAAGTAATTTATAATAAGTCAGTTTCTTGAATTTTGCATATTATTTTTATGTGGTGGTAAAGGTGCTTATGTAAAGTAAATCATGATTTATAGCTTTGTGTAATTGCCAACCAAGCTTCTATAGTTTATTGCATAAAAAGTGGTTATAAACATGGCTAAGAGTAATGTGCGGTATGATAAAAAACCAATTTTATTACTAATGTAAGCTGAATGACCTGGCAAGATATTATGTAATGTATATTGCAGGGTATTTGGATATCTGTATTGCCATGTACTTTATTATGTATTGTGTGTTGGAGAATGCAGCTCCTCTTCCTATTTTCTTTGTTATAAGCAAGAAGCTAAAATATCCTTTCAGTAGAAAAAAAACTGTTTAAATTTTATAAAAACTATACTCTCGTAAGCAGTACCAGCAATATGAATAAATATTCAAGGACAATTTAATTGCATTGTCCTCTTCCATATTGCTTTTAAGTAATATTTGTAATATCTTGTTTATATTACTGAATACCTTGTAGATTGTTCTGTTCATATATATTGTAGAAACAAGCTTACAAATAAAATGAAACTTGACATTTATCATATTAAAATCATTTTTTTCTTTTGTTTAGACTTGTTTTAATACAGAAAAAAATTCTGATTTTTGAACAGTAAGGCCGCTAGGAAAAAGCATACTTAAACTAATCTATAATCTCATGTAACTATCCTTCTACTTGCAATGTATTTTGTACACTCCATTGGTAATAGTTTGGGGAATTCATCCTTATTAAAGAGGAACCTATCTTTTATCTTGCTCACTTTATGAATCTTAATCCTGCACTATTTTTGTCCAGTATTTTTTTTTAATGATAATGGTCACACATGAGGTTTAAGGTTGCATACTCTTCTTCTTAATCCTTCCTTCAGTTGTATACTGCATAGTGCATTCATTACTTAGAAGATAAACAGATGTTGAATTTTTTTGGGGTCTGCCTAGATCATTTACTTTGTCAGCAATGTTCCTTGGTGACACAATATACACCTTTGGTTGGGGATGGTGGTGTGATGCAGTATTGAAGTAATGGTCTCCTTCTTATGGTTAAGATGTCCACCATCATTGTGTTGGATCAACTGGGCATTCCATCCAGTGCAGAATTAAAAAACCTGAAAGCAATATTAGATTTAAAAATACACTAATAACAAGGGCCATGCTGTAAAATAAACCTGGAGAACATTAGCCTCCTGACAAGATAAAACAGGCAATTTCCACAGAATTATTAGAGAGACAAAAGAAATTTATAAGCACACAAATAATTTAAATAGAGATGACGGATCAACTGTTATCCTACTGCAGTTAGCAATTATTTGTGGCATTCCGCTTCACTGAACGTAAGCAGTATATAAGGACATGACAGCTGTTATTGAGTTCAGTTTCAGATATACTCTGAAGAAGCTAACAATAAGGCTACTGAAATTTCAGTATGTATTCATTGTCTCACAAGGCAGTCCCATACGTCATTTCACCAATCACTTGGCAGCAGTGAAAACCTACCTGCTGTGATTAAAGGCTTAGACAGCTTTTATTCATTACAAGTCGTGTCATACTTTCTGAATTTTTGCAAGTTCCTTACCTATGGAGATACTTATGATTTATTCATACATATTACAAAGAAGAAGAAAAAGAAATATTCCAAAAATTGGGATTGGAAGGAAAACCAAATCACCTTTCATTACAAATTTGAAGGTTCTACCATGTTTCCCTGAAAATAAGACTGGGTCTTATATTAATTTTTGCTCCAAAAGATGCATTAGGGCTTATTTTCCAGTTATGTCTTATTTTCAGGGAAATATGGTACTAAATGCATCCATCTGGCTGACGATCTTAACCCAGGGCTTATTTTTGATGTAGGGCTTATATTACGAGCATCCTGAAAAATCATGCTAGGCCTAGGGCTTATTTTCTGGTTGGGTCTTATTTTGGGGGAAACACAATACTTCCACAAAAATACATTGTGCAGATGCTTTGATTTATTTCTATGCTGCATATCATTTTCATAGTTTTGCTGATTAAATAATTTTTTTAAAAAAGCTCCTTTACTGCTTCTAAAGATTCCATACACACACACTAAAAGTTCTGTATATAGATGATTGAGTGATCTAGGTCTTGCATCCTGTCTTGCTTGAGTCTTATTAGGAGAATTTATACACAAATCTTGAAGAAATGGCATATTATTCCAAAAGCCTAGTTTACAGGGAAGTAAATAATTTTTTTAAAAAAGATTATAAGTGCATTGTTTTTAAAAAAAAGTCTGGCTGGGGAATTCTGGGAGTGAAGTCCATACATCTTAAAATTGCAGAGTTGTTGGGAAACACTGCTCTAAAATACAACAAAACTCCAAGATCTAAACGCTGGTTGTAAACAATGGTTGAACCAATTTATTTTGTATCTAGCAGGTGCGATTCCCTTAGATCAGATGCTTATACAGTATGTTGTAATATATAAATAAATATTTAGCTTTCCTTTTTTAAAAACAAAAGAACCTCTGAAGCAACATTAGTCTATAAATTATATCTAGTAAAGATAGCTTTGACTTATGAGCCTAATTAGCTCAGAATTACAGTCATAAGTCATGCTGATTATTAAGCAGGTCACCATGTGACTGCATCTGATTTTATGACTTTTTTTTTTTTTGCAGCAGTGGTTAAATAAACATCATAGTCGTTAAGTATATGTTTTTTGCCTGAAACTGAAAGTAAATGGCAATTTCTGACAAAAAAAAAATAAACATTATAAATCACAGTCACCTGACTTGGGATGCTGTGTATGGCCATACATTCAGGCCGTTGCTGAGCTTCTACAATTCAATCGCATGACCTCAGGGGGAGCATTGTGACTTCAAATCCAGATCGGAGGTAATCCTGGGGAGGTCTGTCATAACTTTGGTCACTAAGCGATCAATTGTAAGTCAAGAACTACCTGTAGTGAGCAATAGAAGAAGTAGCACTATCCTCACCCTTTGCCCAGTCAGTTTGTTTGCTTTGAAGATGAATTGCTGGACTTGTATCCAAACATCTTTTGTTCAGCGTATGCTTGGTTCGAATGTTAATTTTGTCACCTAATAATGTAGTGAATGTACACAACATCTCTTCTCAGTTCTGCACTTGGATTACTGTATCTTTATTTGACAGTTTTTGAAATATTTTCTACTTGTTCGAGAAAGGGCAACTTGATGTGCAAAGAGAAGTAAGTGCTTGTCCCACAGAATAGCAGATCGTTTTGTGATGTTGACTCCCAAGTTATTTGTCTTTGTAAGAAACCCAGTCAACAGACTTTCCTTGACTTGTTCTGTTATCATTTTTGTTACTGTCAACTGCTTCATGTCCAGGGTACACTAGACAATGGTAGCTGGCTGGCTCAGGAATTCTGGGAGTTGAAGTCCACGAGTCATAAAAGAGCCAAGGTTGCCTACTCCTGCACTAGACAAATGTACAAATAAATAAATGTACAAATGAATAAATGAGAGGTCGAATCTGAACACACGTTTCATTTTTATGTTTACAGAAATTGAAAACCCTGCTGAAAGAGTGCACCAGATCCAGCAAATCATTATCACTTTGCCACGAGCTGTCATCGTTGTAATGAGATACCTCTTTGCTTTCCTTAACCAGTGAGCATTTTCTTTAACTATTTACTTCGAATGGATCTGTAATAGCCTTCCCTGGTCAATACTCTTCCCTTTCAGTGTTCTCTTTTTCCTCAGACCTAGCACTGGGCAAAAGGGAGGGGTGTCACTTGACCATCATTATTTGTAATAGTTGTCTTTTGCCCAGCTGGAGGAAATGCCTGTAGAGCACTGTATGTGTAATACTTGAAGCTTGGTGTTGTAGCTGTGGGTTACTTGTATTTGCAGCTTGTCGCAATACAGTGATGAAAACATGATGGATCCCTACAATCTAGCCATCTGCTTCGGACCAACTTTGATGCATATTCCAGATGGGCAGGATCCAGTGTCTTGCCAGGCTCATGTCAATGAGGTCATCAAAACCATCATAATCAATCATGAGGCCATCTTCCCTACCCTCAGGGAACTGGAAGGACCTGTTTATGAAAAATGCATGACTGGTGGGGAAGAGTACTGGTAAGAAACTTAGGAATGAAATATGTGCATTTAGCATCTTAAGAAGATTAGGAATTTCTTCTTTTTTAAGTATAGGATGCTTATTTCAGGTGTTTTTAATTTAAATAGTAAGATGATATAGGGTTATTTCTTTGCCCAGACTGGAATGGATTGTTGTATATGTATGAAGTATAAGGAATAATTATTTTTGTTTCTAAATCTCTTGGTTGCACAAGAAGATTTCAAATAATGTTGGGCTACTGGAGTGTAGGAATTCAGTGGAGGTTATAGCCTAATTCATTTTTAGGTCCTTTAAAAACATAAATAGAAATTGCTTAGAACTAGTTTAACTCAATCCAACATTCTTCTTTCCATAAGGGAAACCCAAATTCTTCCTTAATAGCCCATAATCATGGCAAGAGTTGTATCTATAACTCCCTATTGCCCTCATTCTCAATCAATCAATATTAGTTTATGTTCTCCAAATGTGGAGTTCTCTCTTATTTTTTTTGAAGAAAGCTATCTTGTCACCTTTTCTGTTTCAATGATTTGCTTTTTAGTACTTGTAGTGTTGATTCCAGCAAGAAGAAATACAGTGATCCAAATATATAAATTCATGTATAACACCATCAAGAGCTGTAATCTTTAGCACACATTCTGCTCATTTGAGGCATATTTTGATGCACACATTCTGCACATTTGAGGCATATTTTGATGCATTGTTAAGACACAAGTAACAAGACCTTTTAGGCTAGAAACCACATTTTCTCCTTGTGTCCACATTCTGGTGAGGCTTAGGACCAGATGGGTTGCTGTGGGCAATATGTCAGCCATGTGTTTCCTAACTCTAGTTTAGACAGATTAAACATAATCCTCCTTTCATTTTATATCTATTAACCATCTTTTCCATCAACTTTACATTATTTTGAACAAAAATTAGTATTTAAAGATAGTTTCCTGGCTATATGATACGTTGTCCTTAGGTGAGATCAGGTCTTTTTTTAGTCTGTTGATTACAGCTGCCACAACTCTTACTGGTTGCAGTTCATGGGACCTGAAGTCCAAAATGTGTAGAAGGCACCAGGTTGCCAAGGGATGGGTTAGATTTTAATTATTGGGTACAATCATGAAGTCATTGCTTGCATTAGAACAAACAGTGAAGGTTCTTAAAAGCATTTATTTTGTTTATTTTACAGTTCACTCTTGTTTAGCAGTTCATTGTCTTGATGGGCTTAGCAATTACACTAAACTGATAATTACTCCCAAAGCTAACAATTAGATCCTATACACGTCTACTCAGAAATAAGCCCAGTTGAGTTCAGTGGGACTTGCTCCCAGGTAAGTATATACGAATGAAACAGTGTTAGGGAGAAAAAAAACCTGAAAAAGAACTGAAATATTTTAAACTGTAATGAAGCTAAGACCAACACCCCTAGCCTAAATGCCCATTTTTTCCACGAATATTCCTTATTTTGGGTGGCACGGTAACTCAGCGGTTAAGACACTGGGCTTGTCAGCTGGAAAGCCAGCAGCCCAGGTTCGAGACATGAGCTCCATGCGATGGTGTGAGCTCCTGTCCTTGTCCCAGCTCCTGTCAAATTAGCAGTTTGAAAGTACACAAATGCAAGTAGATAAATAGGTACCACTTTGGTGAGAAGGTAACAGCACTCTGTGACACCATGCTGGCCACATGACTGTGGAAATGTCTTCTCATTGAAACAGAGATGCGCTTTGCCCCCTATAGTTGGCAAAGACTAGTGGAGTAAAAATCCACAGGGACTCCTTTACCTTTTATTACTTATTTTACCTCTCTACATAGCTCTGTATAACTATATAGGAATCTCAGAAACTCAATAAAATATCTGGAAAGGAGGAAATGGTAAACCACTTTCATATTCTAGTATAGGCTTTTATGGCTCATGTCAATCAAGCAATGATGAGCTTTTTGGTTGAATGACTGTATTCTAGTTTTCTGGTATCCTAATTAATCAGGACACCAGAAAACTAAATCATGGCCATTCATTCTGAAATATCCTCATGACTTCCAAGTTGTTGATAGTAAAACTGTGTAAATGTGTCCATGAAAGTATAAGGAATTGATCATGACTTGAAGGAAACTTTACATGTAGTCATAGCTGCCAATTGTTTCAGATTCAATAGGTTTCCAGCACTTTTTCATGTAATCTTCTACAAGATCTTTGCCCCACTACCTGGGGCAACTTATAATTGCTTTGCTCCAGAAGGCGACTTCTACCCTGGACTTCTCCCTTCTGGTTTCTATAGCAACAAAGGAGAACTTAAAATGGCTGCTCTTGAGAAGAAGGGCAGTCCTAAGTGGTGACAGAAGCCACTTAGAATGGTAGTAAAACTTTGTGTGAAAAAGCACAAAGCAGCCTTTTCTTAAAACAATTGTTAGCAGGAATGGGAACAAATAACAGCAGGAGCAGATGGTGATGATAGCAATGACAGTTTGTCTCATGCTGTCTAGCTCCTACTTTCCAGGCACCAGTGCATTCTTAATGGGCTTTTGTGACAGACTAAAATCTAAGGAACAGATCAATGAAAGTCTGTTTCCATTAGATCTGTTATATAAAATGGGACAAGTCTACAAAGACTGTGTTTCCTATTATGTCAGCTTAAAATTTCTTCTCAAACACAAAACAGATGTTCCCCTCCTGCTAAGGTGGGCATGCGGCTAGCAGGCAATAGCTATGTCAGTTTCTTGGCATGAACCCATTAATCGATAATCAATCTTCTGCTACATAATTAGTACTTCAGTTCTGGATAATGGGAGAATGTAGGATTATGCCTTCAATCCTAATTTTCATTCCTTGAACAAATATATTAGAGAGATTGCCATGAGACAAAAATATGTAAACAAAGAATAAACAAGTTTCACCAAAATTATTTTAGACTTTCATTTGAATTAGTTCTGATACCTTTAAAGAACCCTTTTTAATAACTGCACAAAATACAGGACAATAGAAACCAGGGTCTAGGGCAACTCGCAATGGCCAACTCGCCATTTCACCATGGCTAACCCACCATGTCCATCTTGCCACAGTCATCTTGCCGCGGGACAACTTGCCATGGACCATTCCATGTGGGATAACTCAACGAGATAAATGCTACCCGCCACTCTTTCTTGACATTATTTCCATTTTTGTCAGTGGAAACAGTGGCAGATAATATTAATTGTGTTGAGTTATCCCACATGGAATTGTCCCATGGCAAGATAGCCATGGTGGGTTGACCATGGTGAGTTGGCTACTACGAGATGGCTGTGGTGAGATAGCCGTGATGAGTTGTCCCATTTCATAGGAACCAGGCCCAGTTCTACTGCAAGATGAGGGAAGCTCTTTAATTCACTTGGAGCAGAACAAGTAAACAGATGCCTGTCCTTTACTATCCACAACTGTTTAATGAAGAGCTCTTACCAATCACTTTGAACTGGAGTATGTTGCAACAGCCCTTTTCTTCATGATCAAAACTCTCATCGTATAGATGCTGCCGTCAGGTGCCACTACTGTCAGACATCACTCAACTCTCATGCATGTGCTTATTTCTGAGAAAGAACTGTATATTTTTTCAACAAGGCATTCGGCTTACCACAGTTGGGGAAAAAATTGAAAACATTTCCCCCCTCCCCCATGGCAGTTAAGTCATGACAGCATAAACAGTGGCTTAAGGCTGTCTGGCATTTTCAGAATTCACCCAACTATGCCAATGTTTGTGTCATTTTCTTAAGTGAAGCATAATGGGCAAGATGGCATCATATTTGGCTACTGGTAGTGCCACCCATCATTGTTGCGGTGTTGTTACAAAGAAAACTGCTCAAGTGGGGCTCCTCTTACTATGTGGAGAAAGAATGATAGGAGGAGCTGTAAACAGCAGGATATTTATTCAACAATGCAGATGCAATGGAAGCAGAAATGTAGTAGGAGATTTGTTGAAGGTAAAATAGTATTGCAAACTAATCCTAGTAGGATTCATATTTATCTAAGATATTCTTTTGAATATTTTTTAAATGAAAACATTCTCATGGGTATGCAGACCAGCATTGCAGATTTTTTTTAATAAAGTCTGAGATGTTCCAATTTTGCAATTCTGAAATTGTTCAGCGCAAATTGTAGTTTCCTGCATTTACTTGTTAATAAGGCGTTCACATCTCTTTCCCCTTTTATCCCCATTTTAAAAACCTCAGTGCATTTATTTATTCCACTTTTGATTCCAGTGACAGCCCACACAGTGAACCGGGCACTATTGATGAAGGAGAACATGACAATGGCACAGAGCCACACACCAGTGATGAAGGTGAGTGTAGAAACAAGCCATGGACAATTGTGTCTACAAAAAGCTACCAACGTTTACATGGTGAAATGCTAATGTGCATTTAATAACTAACCTAATTTCCCTAGATTAACATAGGGCTGTTTGCAGGGGAGGATGTATCTCTATGTTTGAGACTGCCAGTAGGTACTAATAAAATGCCTTGAAATATGTGTAATTGAAGTAGGCCCATGGGAGTTTTTCACTGCTGTCACAATTACATTCCAAGGCAATATGGAAGTTATTCTGACAGCCTGCTTAATAAGTTAAAATTCTGTTTTTCTATTTGACATGAAAGTGACGCCTCCAGTTTGACTGTTATTTTATGTAGTTCCAGTTTTATGGTAAGAAAAGGAAATGGAAAAATGTTCTTTGAAAAAAGTCTTGAGTATCAAGGATATCTACAACTTATATTTCCAGTTTTTAATATGTTTCCCAGGAAAAAAAGGATGAAAAACAATCTTTAAATGTATGGAAAGATATAACTGACAGCATTTTGAAACTGTGTGTCAATTGATAACTATAAGAATTCTCAGTCAAACATACTCTAACTGTACAGTCTAATCCTTTGTTTCCTGGATTTATTTGAACTATTATATAAAGGTATTGAGGGTTATTATCATAAGAGTTATGTCCATAATACTAATATGACATTCCCCACTCTTATGGTCTTGGGGACTTTAGCAGACTTGGCAAACTTGAAGATAGCACAGGACTTTATGGCCACCATGACAGCCATGAACATATTGTTGGGATGAGACGCCTGTACATTAGATTCATGTCCCTCACAATTAGTTATGGTTTACAGAGAGGGGGGGCATATGAGTGGGTCCACGTGGTAATAAATGCCTCTTTGAGAGAGGAGTTGGCTCTCATGAGGCATCTTTGGATTCAAGTGATCAGGACAATCTGTTTTAGAGTCTCCAACCTTCTTTTTTTAGGAAAGGATGTTGAGAAGGTAATTGGTTTCCAGTTTTAAGGGTCCTGGAAAATGCAGATTTTCCAAACCTTTTCACTCAAATATCAGACTGAGTTATATCATTGAGTTGGCTTTGGCTGCACTTGTCAGTGATCTGTAGTAACTTTGAAATAGGTTTGATGAATCTATCCTGGCTCTTCTTGATCTCTCAGTGGCCTTCAAACCCATTGATCAGTTGAGATGGTTGGAATAGAGAGCGCCATTTTGTGGTGGTTCTGCTTTCTCCAAGGCTGGTTCCAGCTAGGGCTGGAGCAATAAAGCCCTTAGATCCTTGCTCTGTGGAGTGCCTCAGGTTCTACCTTCTCTTTTCTCCTTTTTAATATCTACATAAAGCTGCTGCGTTAGGTCATCTCCCCTCACATCATTGAACAGAATGGGAAATAATATACCGGTATCAATTAAACATTTTGGCACATCTTTCCCTGCCTCACAAAAATTATTTTAAGTTGAAAAATTTATATAAGATTAAATGACCAAAACCTGAGGAATACAGTTCTATTCCCTCATTTCATATAATGTTTATTTGTGTCCATTTACTTTTGTATGCTAACTTTCAGAACACAATTTTTCTGTATCTGCACACTTAATATAGCTATTTGATTACATCCCCCCCACACACGTTGATTTGGACATTGTTGTTAAGTAATATGCCTAGAAGCAAATCTTGTCTTATTTTATAATTTAGGGAACCTTGTTACAGAGCCCTGTGTTTTACTTAAACTTAGCATGCCTCTGTTTCATTTGTTTTTATGGCTTTTAGTTCCAATAATTCTTTCTCTTTAGTGATGCAAATATCCAAATCCAGTACTTTACCAGTACAAGTTATGGGAAAATTGACATAATTGTTTGTTGGAACTAAGGGCATAAGAGGAGAAAAGGATAAGTCAGCTAATTGAAGATGAATGTTTGAAAGGAGCAGGGTAATGTCCACCTTCATTTTTCAGTGTTGGTGATGACAAACAGCCTTTCTTGACTGAAAAAGTTGAAGCAAGCAAGCTTCCACTTAGGCAATTTTATGCCTGAATGGTTATGTTAATAGTTTTGATTGGAGTTTCTGGATGATTAACCATAACACAAGCATGGAGAGGAAGAGCTGTTTTATTTTAAGAATTTATATAACCCCTCTGAGTCTAATTCCACATATCTGGTTCAGTGTACTGGTGAGGACTTAGATATTTTATCTAGATTGTGTGGCTATTTTGGGAAGCCATCTTGAGACTATATATTACTACTAAATGTTGCTTCATTTGAAGCACACAAAGGCATGTGGTATAAGATAACCTTTCCCAGATGCTGCTCTTCATACATTCAGGGTTACAATCCCCATTATGTCTAGCTGATGTTAAAGAGCATTTTAACAGAAAATGTAGAGACAAAACTAACCTAGATTGAGGGCTGTTTCTCAATATTACTGTACTAAGATGGTAACTTATGAAATCTGTTTCTGAATTGCTTTCTGCCTTTAAGTAGACAAGAACATTGAAATTGTTCTACTGGATCTGATTAAGGTTCATATTATTCAGCATTCTGGTTTGAATGGCAGACAGCCAGGAGTTTATTAAAAAGTTAATAACACATAGTACGCAAAACTGTTTATTGCTAGCATTGGATATCCTGTGTAAGTTTCTTCTGGCTATGGAGATATATTTTGGAGGCTAGGTCTAATGGCATCAATAGAGGTAAACTCATAAACCTGGGTATTTTTCATGTTTAAGTTACTTTTGGCTGGAAATAGACTATAGCTTTTAAAAAGAGATAGTCTGAAAGAGAATACATACGCTTCTCCCATTTTTGGCTCCGATAAACAGGTTTTGTTAGAATTTCACCAGAAGTAATGATTGATTTGATTAATTATGTGCTGCCAAGTTGGGGTCGACTCACAATTTTGTCTCTTGAGGGATTTAAGCTAACTTCATACTTCCTGGCATCTCTGAGATTCCCCCCTCCCATTTATCAAAATATAGGGAATCTTGTCCCAGCTGTCAGCTATTACCCTTTCCTTCTTTCACACTTGCACTTAAGTTACTATATGGTACCTTAATATTAAGATGACAATTTTCTGTTTCCTAGGGAAAGTAGCAAAATTATCCTTCACAGAAATATCTTTAGATAAGAAACGTTCATACTATTCCAGGAATACCTTACTGCATTAAACAAACTGTAGTGAGTTTTAATCAATTTTCTGTAATTGGATCTTTCTTCTACTGCTGTTCACCCAACTTTATAGAAGTGGAACAGATTGAAGCTATTGCCAAGTTTGACTATACTGGGCGATCCCCACGTGAGTTATCCTTCAAAAAAGGAGCTTCCCTTCTCTTGTACCATCGGGCATCAGAAGACTGGTGGGAAGGTCGCCATAATGGCGTAGATGGCCTCATACCACATCAATATATTGTGGTACAAGACATGTAAGTAAAAGTTTTACTGTACAACAGTTTGTATTTGTATTCAGTAATATCTATACAGTGGTGGCGAACCTATGGCACTCAGAGCCCTCTCTGTGGGCACACATGCCATGCCCCGGAGATGGCAACTATCCCTCTTCAACCAGCCGCCCGCTAACTCGCCGAGGTCCCACATGGCCGGATGCATCCCAGCATCCATGCGCTCGCTGGCCTCTATGTGCAGGGGCCGATGGTGTCAGGCAGCAGCCGCCCCAGCCCCTGCCTCACCTTGCCCTGTGACAATGGCACCCCCGCCCTGCCTCACTTCACCCCTCAGGACGAGCCTCTTGCCCACCGCCCCACCTGCCAGAGACCCCCTGGATCTCCCCCATCCCTGCCTGGCCCCCACAGGCGTCCCTCCCCACGAGCAACATCGAGGCGATCACGTCCACCTTGGTCACACCCACCCAATCTGCCATGATCACCACAGCCACGCCCACCCAATGGGCCAGGCCCATCTGGCACCCGGCAATAAATAAGTGGTTTTGGGGTTGCAGTTTGGGCACTCGGTCTCTAAAAGGTTCGCCATCACTGGACTATACGAAGTACCATTGTTGCTCTTCTAAGGAAAATGGGAAATTGATATATCATTTATAACTTTTGCTTGAGTTGAGCTATTGCTGTGATTTTATATGTTGATTTTCTTCTTTCCTTATCTTTCTCCCCAACATTTACATGTTCGTTTGCTATAAGCTGCATTTCAGGCAAAGAACTATCTCACTTCTTGAACTACTAGACAATCTGGGACCCATTAGGTCATCCTTACTTAAACATAGAAGCAGAGTGACCATGGGTGGGCAAAAAAAGCAGTGGGAATAGGATGTCTATCGAGATTCTCAGTCATCCAGATCATGGTTATCTCAAAGCTGCTTTTTCAAGAAGCAACTGGACTTTCTTGTTTTTCTTGAAGGCGTTTCGCTTCTCATCCAAAAAGCTTCTTCAGCTCTGAAGCTTCTTGCATGAAGTGAAACGTCTTCAAAGAAAAATGAGAAAGTCCAGTTGCTTCTTGAAAATGCACCTTTGAGACAGTGGGAATGGGAGTCAGTTCTTGTGAGCTTCCCCATTGACATTGTTTGTGGGAAGATGGCAGGGAGCTCGTAAATCACTCCTTCTCTCTCCTTGACTGACCTGCAGAACTGCTTATCAGTTTGCTGGGGGGAAGAACAAAGAGAGCTGTGGACCACAAGGAAAATTGTCCCCCTCCCCATCCCATATATCCCAAGGATTTGTTCCCTCCAAGGAGGAAGAGGACTCACCTGTTGACCACAAGTCACCTAGCTAGCCTTATCTTGCCATCAGATATTTGACTTGCTTCCTTGTCCCACCCACACTTTTAAGATATTTCAAATTTTGGCTTCAGTTCCAAAGCAACCAATTCAATAGAGTGCAGATGCTAGATAGAGATGGCAAAGAGAGTGGGGATTTGGCTGCCCATCTCCCCTTATGCCATACAACCTAGGGGTTTCTGGGAAGTGTAGTCAGAAGGCATGGTATGCTGAAGCAGCCACAACTTTCCTAAATTTCATTCCAACATAAGTCTGTAAATTAGCCCATTGAGTTACCTTGGTTCAATAATTGTTGCCCTATGCCTTGCAGTTTCACCCAGTTGAAGGTTTCAATCAAACAGACCTGAGAAATATAGTAGTATATAGATATGCAAATATAAAAGATAAGAACTAGCAGCAGAAGCAACAAAGTTGTAGACTACATTGTGTTTTGTTAAAAGAGGATTTAAAAAGGTTGATGTTATGTACAGCGAGCTTTATCTGAAAATAACAAAAATGGTGGGACAAATATACCTGCAAGTTATAAAAGTAATTACTATCAGCATCAGTACAAATCAACCTACTCAGAAAATAGAATAAAAAAGTCTAGTGAAAACAATTATCCTACAGGATACTTTCACATCTGTTTTGTAACTACAATACTTTTTTAAAAAAATTAGAATTATTTTTTAGATGCTTTCCATTTAAATGCCATCTAGTATGAATAGCTAGTACCCTTCCTTGTAGTAACAAGGCCTGCTTCATCTTAAAGACAGTTATTTTCCTATACCTTTGTCTTTAAAAATGACATTGCAGGTAAAATTAGAGAATTTGTTCAATCTGATAGCTGTATGGTGCTTTCTTTCAGAGGCATTCCAAAGGCAAATGGATGTAGCTAATTTTCATGAATTTATTCATTGTGTATAACTGCGCTTCTCAACAAATAAGACTGGGCAGCACTACAGATTAATAAATTAATATTTTTCATTTATTTTTAATGTTTTAATGTGTATTTTTTTACTGTTGTAACTGCCTCTAGTAATAAAGGAAAATACTGCTGTTTCTGCTTTTTCTAACAGACAGAAGGAGGAAAAGGGGACTAATTGGAGTGAGTAGAGCCAAGGCTTGAGGAAATGTATTTGTTTGTATGACAACTGGTTCCATTGCTGACAGCTAACCCTCTTGACATTTGAAACAGGGTTTGTCAGTGTGATGCAGCCAGTTGAGTTTTTTTTTTAAAAGAAAAAGCATCATTCACTGAAATATGAAAAATATAGGTGTAATGACAGCAGTGGAAGCCTTTTCTTTGAAAGAGCTAAGGAAGATTTTCCTTAAAAATGCTCCAATCCTATAAGACACAGTATGTAAACATTGTTGGCATCCAGCCAGAAGAAAAGAGGAGACTTATGGATGAGGTGAAAAAGAAAGTATGTTTATACTGTGCACAGGGATTTATGTAACGTTTTCAGAGATGAGCGGACAACAGGGTAGAAACCCAAACTTTTCTGATATCACTGATATACCTCCAAATAATCAACTAGAATCATAGGATTGCCCATTGATTAATTGTTCTCACTGTCAGGAAATTTCTTCTTACTTACAGATTGGATCACTCTTTTAATGAGTTCCACCCATTCCACTTTATGTCCTGCTTTCTTGGAGAATAAGTTGATCCCCTCTTATCTGTGACAGCCTTTCAAGTACTGGAAGACAGTTATCCTGTTACCCCTAATCCTTCCCTTTGTTAGGCTAGACTTGCCTAGTTCTCTTAACTGTTTATTGTACAGGTTAACCACAGTACATCCATCGGTATTTTACCAACCTGCTGGCACAAATTAATAAGTTTTTCCCTCCTTAGGTATGAAGCATTAAGCTCAGCCTAACAGAGGTTTCTGTTGTTCACAGGGATGATGCCTTTTCCGACAGCCTTAGTCAGAAGGCAGATAGTGAAGCAAGCAGTGGACCTCTGCTGGATGATAAAGCCTCATCAAAGAATGACATTCAGTCTCCAACAGATCATATTCCAGACTATGGATTTGGAGGAGTAATGGGACGGTAAAAAAAATTATTCTCATTTGGATACAATTATCTCTCTTCCCCATTCTTTTCTGGCTACAGGCAAGACAATCTGAATGCATAGATTGTAGAAAAGTTGTGAGATGACTTGCACAGTTAATGTCAAGTCTAACCTGGAAGAAGCATGTACCGGTATATTGATTTATTTCACTATGTCCACTATAAATCAATAGACTTTAGGTTGCTTATTATAGTGTCAGCAGTGCAAATAATTTTTTTTAAACAATCACAATAAAATTATTAAAACTATTAGCATCTGCAAAAACATTAAATTCCAAAGATGTAGTGAAGAATTATAGTAGCCATTGTTTTGTAAAGGCAAGAGGTTGAGCCACAGGGTTGAAGCCATTCTATAACACTATAGCAGCCATTGAAAAGACTTGCTTCTTCTTCGCTCTCATATTGTAACTTCTTCAGGGGCAGGGATGTGAGGCATGTCATCCTGATTTGATCATGGAGAGTCAAAAAAAAATTAAAATGGATTCTTCTAAGAACAGACTGTATGTCCCAAAAGTAGCCTGTACCAGTCCCTGCAGGCATTTGTAGACCATAACCAGAACTTTGAACTAAACCTGGAAAAAAAAACAGGCAACCAATGCAGTGCCCACAGTAATGGTGTAATTCTGTTAAAACAGCTCCCGCCTCTTGCAGTCATTAGCTAACCTATTGTATACTAGCAGAAATTTCAAATTATCTTCAGAAGGAACCACTCTTGGAGCTTATTGCAGGAATGCAGCCTGGAAGTAACAAGGGCAAGACTTATATGGCCAGGGATCGCTGTTCCACAAAATAGTAGCACTAGCACACCAGACAGAGTTTGAGTGAAGACATCCCTGATCATGGACTCTATCTGATTAACAAGCAGAAGCCATGCAGACAGAATTTCCAGATTACAGACTTGTTCTTTCAGAAGAAGTGTTGAGTTCCTCTGTAGCTAACCTGCAGCTGATAATGAACCAGACGATTTCTGGTCAAACAGTAACTTTTGTTTTCTTGAAAATCAGTCTAAGCTTCTTTGATCCCATCTGTTCCTTAACAGCCTAGATCAGTGGTTCTCAACCTTTTTAATGCCGCGACCCCCAACCGGTCGTAAGTCGAGGACTAAACCGGTCGTAAGTCGAGGACTAAACCGGTCGTAAGTCAAGGACTAAACCGGTCGTAAGTCGAGGACTACCCAACCGGTCATAAGTCGAGGACTTTCCCTGCCTGGGAGCGCCACGCGTGCGTGGTTCCGCCCCCTGCGCCGGCCGAGGCGTAGCTGGCAAGCGGCAGAGACGGAGCAGGCCCAGCTCAAGGGAGGTAAGGCACCCGCCGGAAAAGGGAAAAAAAATGGCGGACAGCCTTGCTTGGTGACCCCCGTGAAATGGTCGATCGACCCCAAATGGGGTCGCGACCCATAGGTTGAGAACCGCTGGCCTAGATAGTAAGTAAAAATAAATAAAAAATCAGCATAGGTCAGGATAAGAAACATGCATTACCTGTTTACTGATGACTCATTACCTTGAAATAATAGAAGATATCCCAGCAGTTTCAAATATCCAGATGTTAAAGAAGGTAAGGGAGAGCTCCACATAGGAAGAATCAGAGATTTGATTCTTCAGCTTGACATTTCAAGGCAGTCGCTACAACCCCCTCTTTGAAACAGCTATGAACTTTTAGCTGAATATGGAAATTTGGGGCAATGGTTTCACAAGCATGTTGGTCTTATTTTCCAGGGTGAGGTTAAGATCTGATGGAGCAGCAATCCCTCGCCGTCGAAGTGGGGGTGACACACATAGCCCCCCAAGAGGTTTTGGTCCAGGAATAGATACTCCTCCTCGAGCAGCCGCTTGTCCTAGCAGTCCTCACCTGCTGCCGTTGAACAGAGGTAGGATCGAAAGTCCAGAAAAACGTAGGATGGCAACGTTTGGAAGTGCTGGCAGTATCAATTATCCAGACAGAAAGACATTGAGTGATGGCCATCAACTGAGGTCTACTTGTAGCTCAACTCGGCATAGTAGTCTTGGCGATCAGAAAGCACTAGAAGCTGAAGCACTGGCAGAGGTAAGAAGAGAGTTCTGTAGAAACTGCATGTTGTAAAAATTTTAGACACATCAGATACTTTGGAATGCATTTCAAAAAATTAAATCCATAATGGCTTGGTTTAAGGGTTATTAGTTTCTGAACTCAAAGGACGTACATCAAGAATTTTCCAACATCAATCCGTTTATTACTTATGACAGGGGTCCCCAACCTCTGGGCTGCGGCCTACTACTGGGCTTGGGGGCGTTTGGAACTGGGTCTTGGAAGGTATGGGCAAGTGGCAGACAAGTGCATGGATCCCTACTTGTGTGAGCAGCGGGCAAGTGTGTGTGTGCTCCTGGCTAATATTTGGTTGGACTGATTTGATCCTGATTTGGATCAGAGAATGCCAGTTCTATAGGTTAGACCAGGGTGTCAAACTCTCCGTGTCACGTGACGTATTGTGATATATCATGATTTTTCCCCCTTGCTGGAGCTGGGGTGGGCACAGTTTCCATGCAATGCATCTGGCCTATGGGCCAGCAGTGTGGTGTTGTTTTTGTTTTTGTTTTAAAAAACCCTCTCTGAAGAAAGTACAATATCTCCATGAAGTCACCTGGAACTGGGCTAAACACAGGATATTCTCTCTATCACATATGTGAAAAAGAATCAAGCAACAGGCTGTGCAGATCTATCATGGTCAAAAGGTTTTCTAACTCAAAACATTTTTTTTTATATATCAGAAGATTGCTGATTTACATTAAGGAGGATAAATGGCAGAGAGAAATAATCTTTGCTGAGGGTTTTTAAAAATCCGAAATAGCAAGTAAGCCTTTTAGTAGAATTAAGTAGAATTTATGGACTAAACATAAAATAAATGGCCGTATATGTGCAGGTTCAGCTGAGTGTCTCTTTTCTTTTAGCTGCATGGGTTGCTCAAAGGTTAGTTGATTTTCAGGCTGACATCTTTCAACTTTTTCTGTGTGGGTTGTTGATTGAGTGATTAGGCTCTCACTTCCTAGCTTTTTTGCTTAGTATCAGTGCTTTTTTTTTGTAAAAAAAAAAAAGGTGCTGGAACTCACACACATCATACAACCCACCTTGCCTACCCTACAAGGTTCCATCCAAAAAAGGTGCCGGAACTCCGTTCTGGGCGTTCTATGACAAAAAAAGCCCTGCTTAGTACTATGACATTTTCCACTGCAGAAAACCTAATGAATAGTGCTGTTACATTTTTTAAATAAAGCCACTGGTGATTTGTAGATCACTGGATTTAGTCTTAGTACTGCCATTTTCTTTTTATAGGAAAAAGGGAGCTTTTTCCCCATTTAATTTACACAGCAGTAAGCATTTCATGCATACAACTTTCCAAAGCTCTAAAAATAGTTTAAACAAAAATTGATAATTGTTTGTGTAGGCTTCTTCTTCTAAAGTTAGCAGGGAAGCAAGCTGAGAAGCAATTACCAACCAAGCGTTTCAAAATTCTGCAACAGGTAGTAGAACTCCAGAGAAAGGGATGATTCTTCTAACTCAGTGTTTCTCAACCTTGACAATTTTAAGGCATGTGGACTTCAACTCCCAGAATTCCACAGCTAGCAATGCTGGCTGTGGAATTCTGGGAGTTGAAGTCCACATGCCTTAAAATTGTCAAGGTTGAGAAACACTGTTAACTTCTTATCTTTATCATAAAACGTGACATAAAGAGCCTCTTATTAATTAGCAGGAAAAAGTACTAAAAATATACATGGAAAGGAAGTACTATAATGTCAAAGAAAAGGAGTAGAGTAACAAATGGTTAGTAAAGAATTGTGAACAGTAGAGAAAAACAAAAATATAATTGAAAAGAAATGTGAAAAGAGAACTTCCATATAAATTTCTGTATAAATGCATAATAATTCCTGGAGAACAGTTCAGGCTTCAGATCATCCTGATGAATCCCACCCTGGCATTTTTTGATTCACAATTTTTCAGAGCCCAAAAGGTTTAGGAAGATTGGAATTAGACTATCTTAGTTAAATTGGCATTTTTAATAGTTTCTCAGTGATATTAAATGTTGGAGCGCAACCTGATATTCTAAATCTCATATAGCATTTCACTGAACTCAACTATTCTAGGGTGCAGAATCATGCATAGTCTTGAAAATAAATTCTGATAAGATTGGCAGCATTTCATTCTCAGCAAGCATACATAGGGATGGATTCATAAAACTATTCTAAAAGGTCAGTCCTCTCAATGACCTTTCCCAAAATTATATAAAATGTATCTGAGTATTTTGTTCAAATGAATATTACAGAAATAAGAATAGTGATTCATTGTGACATACACAAAGTTAAACACCACTTATATTTGTGTGTTATGATTTAGTAAAGACTATTCAGGAAATGGATGTTTGAGCTAGGTGTAAATGTCAACCTAGTGTGCAACAGCTGTTAAACAAAAAAAAAAAAGCACAGGGCAAAGATACCAGTTCCATGGCAGGAACAGTTCTAGAGGGGGTTAAAAATAAAACTGCCAATCTGTAATGTCATTATAGAAATGTATGATACATTGCATTTGGAGTTCCATTTTGGCCCCAGGAAGTAGTAGTAGTAGTAGTAGTAGTAGTAGTAGTAGTAGTAGTAGTAGTAATAATAGTAGTAGTAGTAGTAGTAGTAGTAAAGTTGGAAGGGACCTTGAAGGTCATCTAGTCCAACCCCCTGCTCAAGCAGGAAACCCTATACCATTTCGGACAAATGACTGTCCAGTCTCTTCTTAAAAACTTCCAGTGTTGGAGCATTCACAGCTTCTGGAGGCAGGTTCTTCCACTGATTAATTGTTCTAACTGTCAGGAAATTTTTCCTTAGTTCTAGGTTGCTTCTCTCTTTTGTTAGTTTCCATCCATTGCTTCTTGTCCTGCTTTCAGGTGCTTTGGAGATTAGATTGACTCCCTCTTCTTTATGGCAGCCCCTGAGATATTGGAACACTGCTATCATGTCCCCCCTCATCCTTCTCTTCATTAAACTAGACATACCCAATTCCAGCAGCCGTTCCTTACATGCTTTAGCTTCCAGTCCCCTAATCATCTTTGTTGCTCTTCTCTGTACTCTTTCTAGAGTCTCAACATCTTTTTTACATCGCGGTGACCAAAACTGGATGCAGTATTCCAAGTGTGGCCTTACCAGGGCATTGTAAAGTGGTATTAACACTTCACGTGATCTTGATTCTATCCCTCTGTTAATGCAGCCTAGCACTGTGCTACCCGCTCTCACAGTTACTACTATTGAGCAAGGTGCCACCTATGCTGTACTTGTGCATTTGGTTTTTCTTGCCTAAATGTAGAACCTTGCTTTTTTCACCACTGAATTTCATTTTGTTAGATAGTGCCCAGTGTTCAAGTCTGTCCAGATCTTTCTGTATATTAAGCCTGTCTTCTGGAGTGTTGGCTATTCCTGCCAGCTTGGTGTCGTCTTGCAAATTTGATGAGCTCCCCATCTATCCCCTCATCCAAATCATTGGTAAAGATATTGAAGAGCACTGGGCACAGAACAGAGCCCTGGGCACCCCACTACACACTTCCCTCCATGTAGATGCAGCTCCATTGAGGACCACGCTGAGAACGGCAGGTGAGCCAGCTATGAATCCATCTGGTGGTGATGCTGTCTAACCCGCATTTTTCTATCTTATCAAGTAGTAGGTTGTGATCTACTTTATCAAATGCCTTACTGAAGTCCAAGTAAATTATATCCACAGCATTCCTCTGGTCCACTAATTTTGTCACTTGGTCAAAGACTGCAATAAGGTTTGTCTGGCATGATCTGTTTTTGACAAACCCATGTTGGCTTTTAGTAATGACTTTGTTTGCCTCTAGGTGTTTGCTGATTCGTTGTTTGATTATCTTTTCCAGAATCTTCCCAGGTATTGAGGTCAGGCTGATATACAGAGATACACTTCCTCCCTGACTGCCTGCTCCTAATGTGATCTTTTGGGTCTTCCAATGGCGCATTCTTTTCTGCTATAATTGAATCTTATCTTGCAGCTTGTCATTGAATGCTTCTTTTTCCTTCCATCTTCTTCAATGAGCTACGTAGGTCTTTGCATAATGTATCCAAAGTATGATAATGTGAGCCTGGTCATTTTTGCCTCAAGAGGAATTGTTCAATCCATTTGTTTGTTTCTTTGGCTGTCCATAATATCCTTAGGAGTCTTTTTCAACACTAAGGTTCAAAAGCATCAATATTCTCCTTATCCTGCTTCTTCAAAGTCCACTTTTCACTTCCCTAGAATGTCAGAGGGAATACTACGGCTTGCACTATCCCGGTTTTCATAGATATAAATCCATCATGGCATCTTAATATCTTCCCCGAGCTCTTCACTGTTTCTCTACCAAATGCTAGTCTATGCCATATTTTTTGACTGCTTGTTCTTTTATTATTGATCGTAAAAGGTAGAAGCAATCTATCACTTCAGCATTTTAATTATAAAGTCTAGCCAGAATGATTAGTAGGGTTAAAAAAATGTATCGTACAAGCAAAAGTCTCTTTAGAATAAATTGAAGATAGATAAGAGGAGTCAGGGTGTACAAAATGAAATGCGGGGTGGGACAAATCACAATGTTAGAATTTAGGGATCATGCACTGAAATGAAATACGAGAAGAATGAGGACAGACGAAAGAATCACGTAACAACAAGCTATGGCCATCACTATATCTATGCACAGTGGAGTTTTCCTTAATAAACAGCGTTAGTCACAGTTCACGTCTGAATTTTTTAAGTGGTGCTATAAGTTGGTTTTATCTGTTGAAAGTGATGCAATCCATTATTCATAAGTTGCTGTCAAAGTTTATCTGTCAAAGCTAATCCTGATTTTATATATATAGTGCATGTGTGTGTGCATATATGTATATATGTGTTTATACGCATACACACACGCAAAATCTTATACGCATACACACACGCAAAATCTTTCTTTAAATACACATACATATGTATCTATCTATCCAATTTGTGGTCTACTAAATGGGACAGAAGGGGTGTGCTAAGGATATTGCAGGCATGACAAAGTAATATTTTCCTAGTTGCCAGCAGAACATCCATTGATTCATTTGCATGAAATTCTGATATTCTCGGGAATGGATCAATCTGTGCATTTCATTCATTTCTAGAATAGAATGTAGATTGTAGTATTCCCATTTTGATCTGGCCCCGAAGTTGACAAATCAGCCTATCAGGAACAGACCATGCTATTCTCCCTATTTCTACAGTAATATTTGGTTTTGTTGTGCCTGCAAGTCAATTTTGACTCCTGGGGACTGCCTGGATTAGTCCCTGCAGTTTTCTTCCCAAGCTTTTTTAGAAGTGGTTTGCCATTGCCATGTCCTAAATACCCATTAGTATGGTATTCTGAAAGATCTTTTTCCTCGGTAGCATCATCTGGCAGTATATTGTCAGTGATTTTATATTTTCTATCCATGTGGTTTTTCTTGGTTAAAAATACAGGAGTGGTTTCCCATTATCTTCTGTGCAGTGGGAATTGACGCCTTTGCCATTGTCACTGAAGTGATCATCTGCCTCTGATGTCTTCCTATATTGCAGCTGCCCAATCGAGGTGCCTGCTAGCTTTAGCTGGGCAGCTGGGATGACCTTCGCACCACGGGTGATTCCCTTGCTGGGAATATATACTCTTGGCATGCACTCTCTGCATTCTTCACTCATCCCTCCCAGGAACAGCTGCCCCCCCCTCCCAGGATGAAGCAGCACAGCAGGAACCAGGAGGGGGAAATCACTCATAAATGAAAGTAATTAGAAGCCAGTGCAGTTGATTTAAAATTGGTATACCATGGCTCATAAAATGCACACAAGAAAGCAATCTGGCTCCAATAATTTGTACCAGCTGTGGTTTTTGGACACTCTACAAGGGCAGCCCTTATTATTGTTCAAGGGTAGCAACCAATTACTGTGCCTTGTAGCCATTGAAATAGGACATGATTAATGCATAGATTGCTGTAGCCATATCCATATGCTTCAGAAAGTGGTGTAGCTGGGTACCCTGGCAAAGATTTATCATGTTTTTATTTTGTTCGTTTATTTATGTCTTCCTCACTCTAATTTCTTTTGTCCGTGTTTCACTCCCCTGTCCTCTTCCCCTCTTAGTGGCGGTTAATTAGGCTCCAATGGCAAGGAACACCTCTCCCCAATTATTACCTGGTACTTCTACTGGGAGATGCATATTGCAGGTCTTGTCTGCTAAGACGTTCCATCTGACAGGACCCAGGAGACAAGCCTATTCTGCTCTGGTATCTGCCTCTGGAACATTCCCCCCCCCCCCAAGATGAGGTCAGCCCAAAGGTTGTGGCCTTCTGAAAAGCCCTCAAAATGGGGGTTTCCCGGTAGCAGATAGCCCAGATGCTGCTATGGCATCTTATTAACCCTCTCACAACCTTGTTTTTAATTACGTTAATTATTTGTTTTAATTCATTTTTATACTCTGCTTTCATTGTTGGTTTTATTGTATGCCACCCAGAGAGTTATCTTGTGTGACATGGGTGGCTATATAAATTTGGATAAAATAATAAATAAATGAATGAATGAATGAATAAATAAATAAATAAATAAAAGAGAAAGCTTCATGTAAGATGTAAACACACAGCAAGCTAAACACCTTCCATCCAAAGAGGATACACGAGGAGATAATAAATATTAATTAGGTAAGAAAGGTGGCAGTACCATCTCAGCCTTAAACAGAATGTCTAACCTGTTATTCTGCCATACCAAAATTGAAAGAAGTGGAATTGCATAGTGGAAATTAAGTTATAGTTTAAAGAGCTCGCATCCATTTGTATATTGCATGTACTTGTTTATCGGTTCTACGGTTTTCTTTTTTTTAATGTTTTTAATTAGGTTATATCTAAAATGTCATATTTTTTATTTAGAAATTTTGAGAGTTATCTACAGAATGGGAGCCAAAAATATCTTCTCACATTCTCAGTGTGTCTCAGTGTAGGGAACTCTTTCCAGCCTTTGTCCTTCAGGTCTCTTGGGCTTCGGCTCCTACAATTCCCAGCTAGAGAACCAGCCTGGAGGAAGGTTGCACTAGACCAGGGGTCCCCAACCCCCGGTCCATGGACCAGTACCAGTTCGCAGCATGCCAACAACTGGTCTGCACAAACAAGCAAAGCCCCATCCGTGGGATGCGGGTAGCACACAAAACCATGCACCTTCCGGTCCGCGGAAAAACCTCTCTCCATGGAACCGGGCCCTGGTACCCAAAAGGTTGGGGACCTTTGCATTACACTATTGTATGAGTGTGAAATTTATATGCTATAGTTTACTGTCATCAGTTCCCACGCAAATTCTTTCTTGAGTCATTGTTCCACTTGTGGTTATCTGTATCAAACCTTCTGCCTAAAGTAAATAAGAAAGGAAACTAGATCCTCCTCTAGTTCACATTCTGTTTGTATTTCTGTGTTTACAGGACATTGAAAAGACCATGAGCACAGCCCTGAATGAGCTGCGTGAGCTCGAAAGGCAAAATACTGTGAAACAAGCCCCTGATGTTGTCCTGGACACTCTTGAACCAATGAAGAACCCACAAATTGGTTCGGTCAGTTCTGAACCTGCCAGTCCCCTCCATACCATCATGATCAGAGACCCTGATGCAGCTATGAGGCGGAGCAGCAGCTCAACCACTGAAATGATGACGACATTTAAACCTGCTCTCTCAGCCCGGCTTGCAGGAGCTCAGCTGAGACCCCCACCAATGCGTCCCATCAGACCTGTTGTCCAACATCGATCAAGTAGCAGTAGCAGCTCAGGAATGGGGAGTCCTGCGGTGACACCCACAGAGAAGCTCTTTCCTAACAGTTCTTCAGATAAATCTGGCACAATGTAGCTATCACTCTCACAAAGGAGAATTCTTTGGGAAAATGATGGATCATTCTGATCTTCATTTCTTTTGAAAAGGAAGCAGTATGATTGTACAAATGATGTCATTAGAAGAAAAGACATGGAAAACGTGACTCTTGTAAAAAAAAGACGATACTTGAGATTATAGAAGTGGTTTAAGGATTTACACATATAACAACATTGCTGAAAATATTTGGTACTACCCATTGTCATCTTATGTATTACCACTGGAATATTCAAGTCGGTCTAGAAATATATATGAAACTTTATGTAGCCCAGTAACAATTTAATAGACTTACCTCACCTTTAGATATCTGCTAGAGTGTGTTTTTGCCTGTGTGTGTGAATTACACAGCAACTATACATCAAGCAATAGACTATTGATCAGTTCGTGAACTGAATTTTCGTATCAGTGCAATTTGGCTTTAGAGTTACAAATGAAAAGAAACACTAGTTATCTTGGAAATACTGAATTTGTTTGGTGATGATCAGTTCGGTTCTCATAGATGGGTGGATTTCTGTCTTCAAATTCATCTCTTAAGAACTGCTTCATTGGAATATGGAAATGTCATTTTCTGGTTGAAGAAGTACTCCAGATAAGGATGCAAACAGTAAAAAGTGGTACAATTTCCCCTTATACAAAAGGGAAATCTAGGATGTTTTGTATGTACTTCATGTTGTAGCACAGTATTATATATGTACAAAAGAAACTCAACTCCCACTGTTTTCAGAACAGAAGAGGACTTTGAAGTAACCTATGGTTGATAACAATAAATAAATAGGCTACCTTATATAGTGGTTGAAATATTTTATTCTCTCATCTCCCTTTTGCTAATGATTCCTCTGGAGAAAAAAAATCTGTTTTAATCTGGATTAAAACAGGCAAGGAGGGTTTTAATAAAGTTTTATTTCTTAAAGTTCCTTAGCAGTATATAAGGGGATTCCTGGGCCATATCCCCTTGCATGAAGAGCATGATCCATATTTGATTGAGCTGGGAATATATCTGAACTGATAACATTTTGCACTTTCTCTACTGTACTATGTAACAATATACAGTGATTTGGGGCTTACAGAAATAAAATTTGTCTCTATACTTTAAAATAGGCAAAAAAGAAAGCAAAACAAAACAACCAAGAATTCTAGCAATTTGCATGCTTGCCTTTTTTCCCCCCCTTTCACTGAATTCAAGAGTCTACTTCATGGGTGTCAAACTCGCCGTGTCACGTGACGTGTTGTGACATATCACAACATTTTTTGCATTGCTGGAGCTGGGGTAGGTGCGGCATCTGTATGATGCAACTGGCCCGTGAGCCGGCAATTTGACACCCCTGCTCTACTTGCTGCTTTTTTAAAATCAGCATTTATGATCAGATATTTCTAATACCAGCCCTTCAACTCGGATAGTTTTGTTTACTTTCAATCAGTACAGTTATATTTTTAACACTGATAAATCTTACTGAAACTGCACACTCTGTTAAATCTGCATGTTCCACTGCTTGATATCTCTTGAATTTATTTTGCAACGGCCATATCTTGAAACAAAAATAAATATTTTCCATTTCTCATCAGAGGTCAATTTTAGTGACTTCTGAGTAATTGGTGACCTTGAATTTGCCTTGCTGCACTTTAACTCATGGTACGCTTTCAGACAAAATTTAATTTATAAGCAATCCATTTTGCCAAAGAGGAAAATACCTTCATATTTATCCTCTGATTCCTAATACCCTCTGTTTTCAGAAATTGCTTAGAAGAGGGACATATTTTATGAAATAACCTTTTCCTCTATGACATTGTGTGAATCTCATTTTCTGTGTCTCATCGGTGAACATGCTTCATTTCATGAATTTCCCCTTGCCTGTTCTAGCCTGTTTATATACTGCTGTACTTGCTTCCAGTATGAAAAATATCTGCTGAACTGTAATGTTTCTTCTTCATGCTAAATTTTAATTGCGGCCCTGTGACTCCAAATCCTTGCACTTAATAGATAATTCAGTATATTAGAAATGCATCAGTAAAAATGAGAACAACCTCCAATCCTGAAGGAATTTTGACCTTCTCATATATAGTGTGAAAGGAATGTATGTAGTTATTCTAATATTGTTCCTCGATATAATATTATAATGATAAATGGTGTTTATCTATATGTCTGCTAATGTAGTAGGCATTTGTAATGCCATGATTAGTTAACCGTGCTAGTTTTTCATTTATGAAATTCTTTTAATTCCCCCTCCCAAGTTACCTACATGTCCCTGAGCCTTCCTTAGCATATGAACAGCCCCTAGTTCATTATGACAACAAATATTCCATTTGTGGTAGTAATGAACCAACACATGTAGTTTTTGCATAGGTTGGATATTGCAAAGTGGGACAGGTGGGGAAGAGAGAGCCATTTGGCAAACTGTTCTATTTTCATTGCCAGTAATATTTTTTTCTTACTTTGCTTTATGGAGAAGAGGTGCTTTGATTACATTTGTGCGTGTTACACATATTTTTGAAAATGACGAGAGCCGAAGAATTATCTGAAGGTTTACTTTTCTCCTTAAAGATAAGATACATTATACTATACAATAATTTTATTAAATTATTTTTGTTTCTATTTTTTATTGGTTGTTAGTGGGTTTTTTTAAAAACTCTTTAAGTGCCTTTTGAGCACCAGAACAAATCTTTGGATTAAATGTGCTTGGGAGATGGACATATCAAAATATCTCTTGTACAGTTTCTTCCATTTTCTTATAAGAACAAGGATTGTCTTTAATTTTAAAGGAAAAACTATTCCATCTTGTCAAATTGGTGTTGACTATTAGGAATTGTGAAAAAGTCCTTTGTCCAACTCTTCGTAGTTTTAAATAACAAGACTTGGAATGAATCTGATGAAGTGACCACACTTCCTGATAGGAAGTTCTTGTCTCCCTGTTGCATAGGCTTTAGCTAGCAGCAATTTCTCTTTCAAACGTATTTTGTTCTGCGGAAGTGCTGTTTCCCGATTGCCGTGCACAAGGGAAATTCTTGATAGATTCATCTCTGTGTTTTCAGACACATTTGGGCATGGCTTGACCCAACCCGGCAAAGATTTCAAGGGAGAATGTAAAATGCATACAAGTACAAATGGGAAGAAAATGTGTTGGTGTGTATGTGTGCAAGAGAAAGGGGAGGGGGAACACATGTTAACTCACTTTTAAAGGGGGAAAAATAAAGTTTCTTTTACTGACCAATTCTGTAGACCCCCCCTAATGTTATTTGATAAGAATGCTAAATAAAGATGCTATCTCTGTTGAGAATATCCCTGTAGCTAAATAATGATGTCCTTAATGATAAATAATGAGAATATTCCTGTTGGCTGACATTTAATCAAACCCAGATATTACATATGGGAAGCTAGGAAAAGAGGGTCTATGGCAATTCACCACGACCAACTCACCATGACCGACTTGCCTGGCCAACTCGCCATAGTCAACTCGCCACAGGACAAACTTACTGCAGGACAAGAGTTACACTAATATCAAAGAAATGGTGGAATAGAATCATTAAAGAAAGGATGGAAAAAGAGGGACAAAATGATATGTTAATTTTAAAAAGTTAAATTTTTAAAATTATTTTAAATAATTAAGTTGAATTGTTAAGTTGTCCCACAGCGAGTTGGCTGTGGCAAATTGGCTGTGGTGAGTTGTCCCATTCCAAGGAAAAGACGATGGGATTTGTCCAATTTATAGAAATTGTATGAAGAAAATGCAAGACAACACATTTTTACTGAAAGAACTAGGAGTGATGGCCTTGATGCTGTCCACCAAGGCAAAGTAACTAACTCTTCCCATAAATATATGTCATATTTAATTGGAACTACTTTAGGTAACAGTGAGGGAAATGACTTATTTCTTCTCCCAGCTTTTTCTCTTATCTTATAACTTGTGAAGGCACTCTTTATTCAGCCAAGTGAAATATGTTATGGTGCTGACTTAGAAGCAATTCCACCTGCCCTTATATTATTGATGTACAGAAACTGTCATAAGCAAACTATGTAAATGTTAAAGATTCTTTAATAATATAAGGACTGTGCACTTTTCTTTTTTTAGACTAAACAATTCCCCCTTTTTTTGGAAAACCTGATATTTTGGACTATATTATCAGTGCTGCATTTTTCATAGTATGGCAATAGGCCTCCTGAATCCAGTTTGCTTCTGAGTGGCTGCTTCTTGTTGTTGCCAGAAAACTCTAGGAAACTTCTGGTTGGCTGCCCTATATAATGATTGTTGTCCCTCTTATGAATATTGTCTCTGTAATGTATGATTTAAAAAAAAAGTCCGTTCAGTTAGAGTATCTGATTGGATCCTATGTTATGTATGCTATAATGCCATGTAGATCAAACCACTGGTTGGGTACAGACTCATCCTGTTGAATAAACAGTTTACCTTTTCTCAAAATATTATTCCGGTCATGATTTAATAGTCAATAGTGTTCTGTAGCACATGTATTTATTTATTTATAAAAATGCAAATACTTGGGTAGAATAAAACAGATAAAATGAATAAAATTTACGTCCAGCTTCAGGAGCAGCCAAGAATCTACACATTTAATTACTTTGAAGCAAGGGTTATGCCTATTTTCTCATATTCTTCCAGAAATAAATCCCAGAGTCAATATTTATAGCTGAGAAAGAATGGAAGCTTTCTTGAATAACATTAAAAGTAATACTGTAATGATATTGGAAAAAGTGAGACAATTGGAAAATGGATAAAGCATGAATTCTGAAGAATAGCCACCTCAATATTTTATTCCTCTATTACTAGTTTTAAAACAAATGTTTAGCAGAAATCTATTTTGAAATAGGATGATGATTTTTCTACTAAGTGTCATCTTCAAAGCTGTTGAGTTTGTCAAATTCTGTTACATTCTGGAGCCTCAACTTCTAGAGTGCCATAAAAGTAAGGCTATCATCCCAGCTTTATGTGGCCTATTGCAGTGCATTTCACTGTAAAAGTTACATGTTTGAAACTCATGTTGATTAACCCATCTAACAGGGTTTAGAATTCAAGATGATATTTCAGCAAATGTTATTCAATCTCTGCCTTCCCCCCCCCTCTTAAATGGCCTTAAAATAAGTCTCAAATAGAGTACAATTTTAGAAATGTTAAGAAAGGTTTTTTTCCCCCCTAAATTGGGTTGTGTAGGAGATCTATACAGCAGAGTATTGTTCATTCATTTTGATGCTTCACTCATGGGTTGGATGAATAAGTAATATGGTCCCTTTTAAAAATGAACTGCCCATAAATATTTTAGCCACCAGCAGTACTATGGGTAATCCTGGATTTACAACTGTTTGCTTATTAATCCTTCAGAGTTACAACGGAATTCAAAAAAGTTACTGCACACACACACACACACACACCTACCCTATGGTCACATGATTGCATTTCTGGTGCTTGGCAATTGGCTCACATTTATGACTGCAGTGTCCCAGTCTTGACCATGATTTGGAACTTTTTTACTGTTTTCTGGCCAAAAAACCCCCACCCATTGGCTCTGTTGGATTTGCTTAATGATCACATGGTTCACAGTGACATGCTTTATTGTCAAATAGAATCCAATCACATGGTGCCTCGATTTACAACTGCAATGACTCATGACTGCAATATCTGAGCTCAGTTGTGGTGATAAGTCTAGGACTGCTGTATATTTGAGGAAAACACTGCAATGCATAGTTCTCAGGATATGTTTGCTCATTTTAAATGTTTGGTTTGCATAACTTCTGAATAATTTTGAGTCAGTATTTTCCACCTCCATGTTGTGTGATTACTGTCGCATGAAGGGAGAGCGCAGAAGGCTTTGTTGGCTCTATCTCATTCGTAGTATTTTCTTTTAGTGAAAGAGAATACGGTATGTACAGCTCACGGATGAATAGTTTTTACACTTAAGTTGTACTGTGTATTGTACTGAATGTTGTATTCTTAACAGCCATTATGTAGGACAGATAGGCAAAAGACTTAACAGTGTGCATCCATGAATACCAAGTAGCCAGAAGACACAATTAAAATTCCTTAAGCTCACAATACATGTACAGATTCAATCATAGTTTCAGCTGGAAAACTGTGAGCATCCTATCTTCTTCTTCTTGTGCCATACC